TGCATCACTTGGCACGCTCAATGTTAAGAGCTCTTTTGCAAAAGCACACAAGGGAGTCGTATGTCACCATGTTTTCATCTATTGGGTATGACAGAAATATGGCGCAATGATTTCTCTCTTCTCATCTCACCTTGTTCCCTTACATTAAAAGAATATTTTGCTTATATGTTACAAGAAAAGAAAGATATTGTTTGCTTGCAAGCTATTCTCGATTATTTTTACGTGCACACATGAAATATTCAAATTCGAAACTAGGAAATCTAATTACAGAATTTAACAATCAAACCAATCAAACAGAAGAAGCGTTTGATGAGACTGTTGCTGAACTTGAATGACAAAAATCTGACAATGAGAAACTGTATCAGGAAAAATTGAAACAAATAGCAGAAGAACGGCACCAATAGGATGAAGAAAAATCAACAGTAAAAAGATTAACAACTTTAGCAAGTCCTATTGTCAACTTCAATGTTGGTGGTAAAACTATGCGTACACCAAGCGCTACATTGCCTCTCGTCGAAAGATCCTTACTTGCAAGTTTTTTCTCAGGCAAATGCGAAGATAAGTTGATGAAGAATGTACATGGATATATATTTCTTGATTATGATCCAGCTATGAGTAGAAATTTTGTATATGCATCAATAATTCTGTTAGTTCTGCCAAATGTTTTCTGACTTCTCTAATCATATTGGCAGATTGAGTTACTATTATTTACTGTAGTGTACTTTTTTCATCAATACCATTCTATTAAAAAAATTAATAACGTTGAGAAATCACAGTTCTTTCAATTGAGTCTTCTTTTGCAAAATTGAGATTTCTTCAGAATAATTTTTTTTTAAATTTTCTCCAGTAAATGCAATCTTTTATTAAATCAGACATATTCACATAAATATATATATGTTGATATTATTTGTTTGTAATTATTTATGTAGCTTCTAAGTAAACTTTGAACTTAATCAGATTCATCTGTGAAACGTGAATTTAATATATCTATTGGATATGAACAATTGGTTTTTAGAATTTCTTCGTCTATTGAAATTTAATGAATAATATATTGATAGTGAACCAAGTACTTTTACTAGATAGTACTGCTAAAGTCATACGTTCAGAACCAGAATTAGAATGTTTATGAATAGTCAGCAGTTCTACTATTCGATTAACTCATAATAATCGAAGATTTAGAAATACTATTAAGAATGGTTGACAATATGTATTGGAAACGCTGACGTCTTCGTCTGGAAACTATCCAATTCAATATAAACTAGAAAAATATAGGATTAACATTTTCATGTGTATTTTCAGTAGGAGCAAACAATCTACAGGTTCACAATTTTATGATAAACCTACAACGTATGAATAGTTCGTGGACAGATGTATAGTGAAGAACGGTCAAGATTTTCCTTCAGAATGGTCTCAAGTTAATGTAAACGATATTTTCAATTGACAATTAATTGTGATGAACAATCACTGAGTATTCTTAGCCAGACAACTCGAACACAACTTACCATGTAGCTATTCTAGCATCGGTAATAGGTTTTCAATACAGTAACACTTGATGTATATAGAAAAATGCATGACAAAACAATGGAAAACGATTCAAATTTTAAAAGGTTTTTTTTAACATTCATGATTGTTCCGCTTTGAACAGAAAATATTTATTGACTCACAGCTTGAGAACATGGTAGATTCTTTTTTCTCAGGTGGTAGGTTTAACTTTCACTCTCCTTTTCTTTATTATTTTCTTTCTAAATCCAATGGCAATCATATAAATATAAGCACAACGAAAGGAAAGATCTATGATGTGGAAAATTTCATTGATAATGAATAAGGAAAAAACAAAGGAAAATTTTACATACGCGAAAGACAGCAAAGGAAAAGTCCAACGAATGCAACAAAAGACATAATTCAACGACAAGAACAGCATATAACATATAAGTATAGGAATGAAAGAGATCAACAAAAGGTATTAGAGGGAAGAATATATATCTTACTACCTAACACCAGGAATTTCTAATATCTGTGCATCATTATCCAATGAATCATATCAGCTAAAGATTGCTGCTGCAAGGGTTCAGACTAAATGTCTATGATGCATAGCTGAAATTGGCTTTTACACATTCAATTGCAGGGATACCACTCGTAGTGAATCATTCTGTTGTATCAAGAGAATTATTTTCATACAAATAGTATATAGAAATGAAGCGTACACCATTTGAAATTCATTGTGCTAGGAAGGGTGTACGTGATCTTAACCAAGTACTGCATCTATATCAATACCATCACCCACATCTTTATACCAATCTTACCGTTTTTGTGTCACTTGCTTAATAGCGAGGTAGCTACCATTTTATTTTACATATATTTCAGAAGGCATAGATAAATCAAAACGGCTACCTTACAGCACAAATCATTAATTGTGATATTCAAGTTACTCAATACACCATTTGAGAATAGTTAACAGGAATGAGATAAATTTCACAACACAAGACTATCCAAGTCAAAAAATACATACTTCATTGCTATATATTATTAAGATTAAAATCAATTTCCTATGCTTGTTTTGAGAAACACTGAATTAAATTTCCATGAAATTTTTTCATAGACCTTTCATTCGAATTTCTTAGAAATTGAAACTTATCAGGTCATACGCAGTTTACTTTAAGAGTCTATTCTTGCCGCTTGATTGCATAGCATAGAGATATATTCCATGATATACTGTCTGCTATTTTTGCGTTTAATATGTAATGTGATAACAATTATACATATTGTATTTCAGCATTCTTCAATGATATTAATCCAAACTGTTGAATCACACTTTTTGTTATCTAGTATCTTGTTTCTTTAACAGTTTTCTCTTCATGATCGTTAAGTTTTGAAAGTATTTTGCTTAATGAAAGTACAAAAAAAGTTACTTTCCAGCCATGCAATGACATGTAGTGCAGTCTCAAACGTTTTTCTCTTTGTGCTAGATACAGAAAACTCGTACATGAATTCTGAGGAATGAGTTATATCATGATACTATATAATCATTCGAATGCTCTTTTTCACTTGAATTAATTCCAGCAAGATAGACATAACCAATCATTAATTGAGTACGTTATTTCTTAGAATACAAAGCTGGAGACGTTTACTTTTCAATCAATGCCATTAAATAGTTTATAGCTGACGTTTCTACTCTTTGGTTGTTGTTTGTATTTGAATCTGTTTAATTCATCAAGATTTTACTAACTTCAGATTTGATATATTTCATTTAATGATGGAGTAAGGGCTTTCAGCTATGTTCAGTCGTGCAATGTTCGATGACTAGTCAATCGTTTCGGGCATCTATTGCTTCAAAGTTTGCTATCGATAGACTACTTATATACTCACTAATTTTTTGTGTTGAAATGAAATCAAACGTCAAAATTGAGTCATCTCTTCACACACGAGATGACTTCGAAGAATCTGAACATGTGAATCAGCTTCTGGTCTTGTAGAGTGAATGCACTGAAATCTGAAGCTAGCTATTAATGACTTTCAAGCTCAGTATCTTCTGCTCACTGTTTGCAATTCTCCTAAATTCTCGTCGAGGATTCGTGAACTTGTGACGAAGTCTATTTTTTCATATCCGTTTCTAAGTTTCATCGAAAAGCACAGATGGGCTTCAGTTGACTTTCATAAGTTGTATTGCTCACTGTTTGTGTCTCATTGTGTTCTTTACTGTTAATATCAATATTCCTCGAGTTCGAATATCACTGTATCCTGCTAGATAAGTCTATTGTTTCGTTTTTCATCTAAGTACACTTATATTATTCTGTTCTATCGCAGTTTCTCGTAGTTCGCCTTCATCAGGATCAATGGTTTCTTCAAAATCATTTCCTGAATTCAATCCCATTCTTGAACTTAAGGTTACAATGCGGTTTATTGCTACTCTTATTATTTACGATGAGTTTCTCATCTGACACTGGAATATTGTAACATATGGCACACAAAAGAGATCGTTCTAAGAAAACCTGTTTTTGTTACTGAGCAATATTTGTCTCTTCAGTAGTGTTAAATGAATAGTAAGCTTATCGAAAGGTATTCAATAGTTGATAAATCAGATACTTTCATTTTACTGAGCAAGATTTAAGATGAACTTTTGGTTGATATTGGTGCCAATACACACTAACTATCCTTTGATACAAGTCCTGAACGGTGCCTATGCAGCATGCAGGGAAAAGATGTCTCGAAAGCTTGAATGTCGAGCGAAAATTATTTTTTTTGCATCATACTGTATTTATATCTTCAGAAAGAAAATCATCGAAAAGCTAAAAGCTTTAGAATAAATAGTCTGATTCAGATCTTTGTTCATGGAATGTTCAAATTCGATACTGAAAAGTTCATCAGTCACGTGGCTTTAGGAGAACCACAGCTTTCTGTCGAATATCCAGTAAAACTCCTTTATCTGAAAAACGAAAGCTCGACGATTCCCCCAACTAACGCCGATAGTGATAACGTCGAAAGTAAAGATGACTAGTGTAAAAATGTCGAACAATACGAACATCAAAATATTAAAACGCGGAGGTGTGGGTGTAGGTGTATCTATGGTGTTTGGGTATGGATATGGATGTGGGTGCCTTTTTTTTCTATTTTCAGAAGATGGCAGTTTTGTACGCGCTCACATTCATTCACACACACAACCACCCCCACACCCATAGCCATGACTTTCTATCTTTCTACAGTCGTCATACTTCGACCAATTGAAACGAAAGCTTTAATGAAACTGGCACTTGTGTACATCTTGCTGTAGTGTAAGTTTCAGCTCTTTATTACGTGGAGTTAATGAGTTGTGACCATCGAAGATAAAAAATGGGTGATTGCATTTTCTGCGGACAGACTACACTTTTCTATTAATGACTAGTACACAGTAAATGAATGTCATCTCGATTAAAAAGAAATTTAAAAAAATATGAAGAGAGTTTTTTGTCATCATAATTTTTAAGTTGTAATCATGTAAAATAAATATAATATTTTGTTTTCAATTAAAAGGAACGCATTATGAATAAAAATAAAAGTGTTGCAATACAAAACATAGTGGACATATTACTGACATTAGCAGTATTTTCTCCGACCATCACCACACCATCTTTACCAACAATCGATTTAATCCAATCGATATACATAGTTACTCGGGTATAAATACCAGCATCAGTACTCAATCCACATCCTTTACCGAAAGATGTTATGCCTGCTATCATCCATTGTTGATAAATATCTGAGTAATACATCAATGGACCACCTGAATCACCTTGACATGTATCTATAGACAAGAAATAAGACTGTGTTTTTGTCTTGTAATGACAATCAATTACCTTTGCCTCCACCATCGACAGCTGCACAAAATTGTATAGTGCTATTTTTAATTGAATTGCTACATTTTGTTACGTTGCTACCAACAGTCTCTACTGTCACTTGTCTGAGATCGTATGATACAGAACCACCTGTCCGCGTAGATCCCCAACCAATAGCTACAAGTTGTGAGTTTGTTAATGGAAAATCACGTTCTATAGTACCATATGAAGATGGTAGACAAAGTTTATCGACATTATGATTTTTAAAAGATATTGCTGTTTTTAGTTTAAGAATAGCAATATCATTTTCCCATCTAGCTGCATTCCATTTTGGATGTACATAAATGTGTGATACAACTATTCTTTGTCCATCATTATCATAGAGATTGTCTCTACCAACAACAACTGCCAACTCTTCTAGTGAAAGATAAATTTTATCAACGCAATGTGCTGCAGTAAGCACATAGTGTGGAGAGAGAACTGAACCACCACAAAAGTGTCCCATGTATGATTTTCGTAATGAAACAGCCCAACCCCAACTATGACTAGCAGCTACTTCACCGCCGACAATTCTGGCATTCATAACGACTGGATTTTTTGAACAACCACATGGAGCTGTCGTATTACATGAATATATTGATGCTTGTACTAAATATTGATTAAGAAAAAAGCACAAGGTGAGCAATATGAGTTGAGGTGGACGAATCATGATGTTGTATTGCAATGATCTTCTCATGTGACATGATGAAGATGTTTGTCATACTTATATACATTTGATAATTAGAGTTCTTATCAAAATCTTAACATGATGAAAACAACGCATATTATCTTATTTTGTTGTTTTTATTACTCGCTATGCTAAATGATGCCTGTTCTTATCTTGTAGGCGTTTGCGAGCAAAGTTTAGTTAGTAATATTGAAGTAATAAAAAAAAGTCCTTTTACTGCAAAAGAAAATGAGATAAAAAAAAATGAGTAATTTTGAAAAAAGTCTTTGTGATATGTAAAGCTTTCAGAATATAGATACTTCTCCATGAATAGTGCATATAACGTGCATGTTTTGAAGGCTTCATATTTCGGAAAGATCTAGCTCGACACTTTGAATTGTTTTTAGAAGTTAGTGTAGTCGAGTTCTCTATATGTGGCACGTTTACAATTAAAAATCGATAATATGAGTTTTTCGGAAGCCTAGAATATCTAGAAAACACATATAACACATATTCGATAGCTTAATTAGTTCTCAATCAGCACCTAAATCCTTTTTGGGATTTTTATTAGAATACTATTTAGTATCTACAGGAGAAAAAAAACATCGAAATGAGAAGAAAAATTGAAAACAATGTGCTGGAAAATGGGACTTTTTTGTATAACTAGTTACATTTTTGAAGGTAGCCATAAGACAGTTTTGATCACATTATTTCCTAATAGTTCTTATAATAGGTCACGAGCTTCAAGTAAGTAGGTTTTACTCGAAATTCTTGTCAGCTTTTTGCTGTTACAGGTCAGCAAGAGCTTGATTAAAAGCTTCTTTTGCTTGATTGGTTCCATTGTAAAGCTGTACAATAAGACTTTCTAGTTTCAAGTTTGAATATTCCATGTGTGCTGGTAAAAATAATCGAGAACGGCTTGTAAACAAATAGTATTTTTCTTTTTTTTCGGTTATCAAGCAAAACATTTTTTCTAACGTAAGAGAACGACTTGAAATCAGAAGAAAGAAACACATACACTATACTTTTATCAAGCAGAGTAGATGGCGACAAGTTTATATTTGAGACAAAAATGTGCTATTGAAAAGAAGTCTTGACTTTGAGCATGCACAATGATATAAGTTCTGATTCAACATTCTCAAAAATGAAAAATTCACCATTTTTTATATGCCCTGTACATTTATTATCCTACTAGGAAGACGATAGTATTGTAGGAAATAAGTTATCAAAAAACTATATATCATAATAGAAACTATAAATGTAAAAATGATTTGCATAAATATATTGCTAGGTGATCACAAATGGTGACTCTTGTACCGTAAATGTAGGGCAAATGATCAAAACAGTAAAAATGTAGCGGAAATCGTAATTTTCAGCTATGAAACGTATACTAAGAAGCTACGAGATGCGTATCGGTACTTTCGAAAATTCTCAACATATATATGTTTTTTCTATAGTTTGTATCTCAAAAACACCATTCATCAGTCCGAAAATCGACATTTACGCTGTCTACCTTAAGTACAACCTCACTTAAGTTAATATATATATAATGTGGATGTTAGTGTGAGTGTGAAGGTATGTGAATGTAAGTGTAGGGTATTAGTATGAGAGTATGGGCATGACTGTCTATGTGCTGATCTTCTCTTTAACCACACTAGTACACCCACGTCCCATTCGTATAAAATATCTTAATATATTTGAGACTTGTCTTAGGATGAGAAGCAGAAATATAGAGAATTTTCAAAAACTCTTGCAGATGAGTGTGAGTGTCTCGGAAAAGGTAGATCCCACCGACATCCTCGATAGTCAGATCTCATATTTGAACCACACATAGTATATGATAGCTCTAAGAGAAGCAATCTAGCATCAACCATTTCCCTTTAAGATTTTATTGGGAAACAGAAATGCTTTTTTTGTACTCGAATATAATCATTACAAAAGTTTATTGTTTCCCTAAGGAATTTTTCTTCTATTTTTGTGTCTATTTGCAACAATACGTACTGGATGATTTAAATCCTATTGATTTTTACATTGTTTTAGACTTCTCGCATAGAAAATGACTCTAAGATGATGTTTAACGGAAAGAAATTAATGGACTTTGATCCAGAAAAAAGCAGACTTCTGTGATAGTTATGTAGAAATGCACCAGAGATGTACGGTTTTTTTCCCAACAAAACCTTAAGAGCATATGCTGATGATAGACTGCTTCTTTAAGAGAGGGTCCATGAGGGCATCGAGTATGCAAGGCACTCGATAAATTTTTTTTTTCGATTTTTTTTGCTCATTCGAAACTTCAATGTCTAAAACTACTAACCCTAAAATTTCAGGTTCTAAAACCCTTTCTATGGAAAGTTAGTCAATACCGACTTTTAGCACTATCACACCTTTTTGGAAAAAAAAGAGAAAAAATATTCTATAAAAGATGTACTAGCTTACATTTCAACAGCTTGTCGAAAATTTTCACGATATACATGAGAAGATNCTATCCTATTACGACCGAGTAATTAAACTGAGTATTCTTTTGCGTATGTAATTTTGAAGTTTGAGGCTGTTCTGATTATACACTAATTATTACGTGCTTCTTCGTGGAAAGTATCAAACTGTTCCAAGAAAAAGGAGTCATTCACTACCTTTCTATATTCGATCATGAAAAAGTCAAATACACAATTCTTCATTCTGTAAATAATTACTTTTTTGATCATAACAAATTTTAAAAAACTTGTAGAGGGGGCTCAAGCCTCCGTAGAGGGGGCTGAGCCCCCTCTAGCCCCCATCTGGTTACGCCACTATTCGAAAGGCATAAATAATAGAAACTTTTTATTCATAGAGGAGTGACAAATGCTACACATGTATTCCCTACGACAGTTTCGCGATTTTTCACCTTGCACACTTTTTAGAAACCTTTGATGTAATAGGTAATAGGATACTTCCTAAAAAAATGCAGCGCTAGGTCCTAATAGAAGATCCGGGATCTTCTATTTACGGGAGGGCTTTACTACAAAAACTGAGAAGTTTACCAATTTCCCAGGGACCGGTGGAGCGCTCATGATCCTCAACCATGGCATCCATAAGAGCAGCCGAATGTTGACGAACAGTGGCACCCAATGCGTGGATGTATACGCAACTAATCGGATTGAACTTGTTTGGCATAGTGGAGCTGGATCCACGATGAGGAACATAAGGTTCAGAGACTTCGCCAATTTCCGTTTGCATCATCAACTAAATCAAAAATAAAAATCGATAAGATGTGTGTGTGTATTCAAAAGAAATTTGTTTCTCCCTTCTTTTACCTTGATGTCCGTTGCGTTCTTGGATAAAGTACCACAGAGAATGCCAAGGAAGGCACCTACTTCGGCAATACGATCGCGCTCCGTATGCCATGCAATCTCGGGTTGAGTCAAACCCAATTCACGTGCTAGCTCTGCCTGGCACTCCAATGCGACGCTATCATCCAAGGTGGCAAGAGTGCCAGCAGCACCTCCAAACTCCAAAGTCAAAGCACGCCTGCGGATCTCCCCTATGCGTTCCTTGTGACGCTGGAAAGTAGCTAAGAGACGAGCCATCTTGAAGCCAAAGCTGATGGGCACAGCTTGCTGTAAGTTGCTACGACCAGCCACTAGTAAAACCATGATTAAAGGTACATATAATAATACATGGAAAAAAAGTTCGGGACAATTTTCGTATCGATATATTTTTGCAACTACTTGAGCAATTTTAACAAATAAATTATTCTTTGTAAATTGTAGAGTTTTTCACGCTGCATCTTATGTTATATTTTGTTTTTTTTAATAAAATGTATTAGGTGATGAGAAATTGAAATGCAAAATGCGGCCGCTTAACCCTTTGAGGACGGAATTACTTTTTCAATGGAAAAGTAGCTCTTCAATCTGTTTACTGCGTTTGGCTCAACATAATCACATAAAAGTCTTATGATAGCATTTCAAGAGAAGCGAGAGAGATATACTTATATCAGTGTATAGTAACAGAGACAAAGAAGAATATCTGAGAAGAATCTATATGGCAGTAAGAAAGAGAGAAGAGATATGCACGAGATGGTAGACGGGACAATCTACTACCTTACAGGTCATAACGATTACAAGGAGAACAAACCTTTTCTTCACTAAACAACAGGTGGAACAACGTATGTCCCGTTGTCCTCAAAGTGTTAATCTGCCTCGCTCGTTATTTTTGGAGAATCAAAACCGCATGTCATAAACTTCGTTTATTGACTCACTTACTTCTTGAGCGAGAACCTTTATTTTTACATAATAAGTACACTTTGAAATGCACTTTAAAATGGCTATTTATTTTTAATAATTGCTGAAGTAGTTGCAAAAATATATCGATAGGAAAATTGCCGTGGACTTCTTTCCTATACCTTACTGCCGACGACAAAATGGTTGCGAGCCGTATTTTTTATCTAAAATATACAGTTTATGGTCAGAAGAAATTTTCTTGGCCATATATGAATAGTACAAGTGTAGACGTGTATAATTTTAATAAAAGTTTAATATGACGATACAAAATGTTGATATACTGTCTGATTATTTTTAACACATTCTTGGATAACATTTGCCGATAGATTATTGCATACTTCATCAGTCACATTTTCTAGTTAAGCATATAATATTGAATTACGTGAATGGAGAGGTTATAGGCCTGATTTTAACGCTATTGAACTGATCTGAAACATTATCAAACAGAAAAATAAAACCAAGAATCCAAAGTCACAACGTAAAATAGAGAATGCAGTCGATGAAGTTTTCAATGACCTATAGACAAATGTTATTCACGAATGTGTTAAAAATATTCAAACAGTATATCAAAACTTAGTATCCTCATATTAAACTTTTACTTGTATTATAAACCTCTACACTTGTACTATTCATATATACCTGAGAAAATTTCTTCTGGCCGTAAATTCTATATCTTGGATAAAAAATACGATTTGCAATCATTTTGTCGTTGGTAGATAGAATACAATACAGAGAGAGAGAACTTACTCGGTGTTAAGCGGTGATCCTCGACCAACTGGGCTACACTGCCCATAATGTGGTCCAGATCAGCTGCGATGATATCAAGGGAATCGCGTATAGCCATAACAGTGGCACTGTCGGTGACGTCTTGAGTGGTGGCACCCCAATGGCACCACTCACCAAGACCATCGCGACAGAGAGAGACAATCTGCTGAACAACACCCAGTACAGGATAGCCAATCAATTCAGTCTTCTGCTTGAGCTTGTCGAAGTCAATGTTTTCAACCTTGGCCTTGGCAACAATCTCATCATAAGCTTCCTGAGGAATGATCTTGAGTTTAGTCTGGACCTTAGCCAGTGCAACTTCCCACTCCAAGTAATATGCAATGCGTGCCTCATCAGACCAAAGATCTGTTGAAGAAAAAAATAAATGTAAAAATAAAAGTATTGAATATTTATTGTGCTTGTACGTACTGCGCATAGCAGCAGTGCCAAAGATATCCTTGAAGATGTGAGAGTCGACAACGGACGCCATGAGGATAAGAACGGATAATAACAATAGGGTTGTAACACTCGCTGAAAAAACGTATTCTTGTAAACTCTTAAAAGGTTTCCAACTTTTTTACTATCTAAAACTTTGTAAGGGTTTGCGAATTATCGGAAACCCCGAAATAGACAGTTATAGTAATTTATGAAATGCTAACCTTGGAAACAGATTACAGGTTTTCGAATTCACGAAAACCTTAAAGGCAACATGCGTAGTGAAGACTCTATAGCCGACTGAATAAGTTTGGAAACCTTGAAAGGCATCATAGATACTCTATCGAAGGCTCCACTCAACGATCTGTTTAGTGTGTCGCGAAGAGGAGAACTAAAATGTAGAAAGAAGTAATTCATTATTTTCCATGCACCTTACCATTTGTGTTTCATTGATGCGAATCTAAGTATTAAAAAAAAGAAAATATTTTTTTTCTATTTGTAATATATAACTTACTATCTATATATGATCGATATCAATCTAAATAGAAAAAAGAAAATAATTATTTTTTTAATGTGTAAGTTGCCATCTACGTGTAATCGATATGAATCTAAACATAAAAACGAAATTTGTTTTTTCTATTTGTAATATGTAACTTGAGGGTGTGGGTATGTGAGTGGTGTAACGATAGACTGGAGAAGAAGCTTTACCACGACCCTCGGTAATGATGTTTATTGACTACTCCTTTTCTCTAAAATGTGACTACGTCACTTATAACACAAGCCTATATATAAGAGAGAAAGAAAGAGTTAAGCACAGGACAGAATAATAGAAAAACGATAAAAATGAAAGAATAAGAAGAACGAGCATAGAATGATATAATTGAGAGAGTGATATCAATACCAGCACAAGTGGAGTAGAGAAGGACACCCACACCCACACATGTATAACTTAGAAACCGTATAAATGACAATAATCTGCCCACGTGTACACTCAAGTTGGAGTTTTTCACCTCATCTGAAAGCCTTTAATTCTCTGATTTTTAGGAATATAATTAGTCAGTCCACTAAAAATCTGTAAAGCTTAGCAAAAACAAAGATCAGCAAAGAAGATTTGAGCATCAAAAATATTGTTTTGAGAAGTTTCTGGATTCTAATCACAATCATTTTGTGAAACATTCTGAAGATTTTCAAAACTTTGGGAACCCTTCAGGATGTTAAAAAAATATTCGGAAACAGATTTCGATTCCTCATCATACCTTTTTAAGATTCAAGAAGTTCGAAAATCCTTTAGATTTTCGATGGCACACTTCAAGAACCAAAAAGGTATCTTCGGGCACCATTTCGGATACCAAAGCAGTGTTCCTGGCAATATTAGTTTCTCATAACACTTTTATGATTTCTGAAAATACTTTTAGCGTGTCGAAATCGGTATTGTCGAGAACCTAACGGTTTCAGTATGGATTTAGGTAATCCAGGAGACATATTTGTTGTTGGAGAGCAGCCACACGTTTTCACGCGAAAAAAATCACTTGCGACTCCAGCGGAGAACAGGAAAAAGAAAAGTAGCGTGGCGTAGCAAACAGCAGTGAGAGAAAAAAACAAGCGGTGGATGCTGATTTTTCTTTTTTTCCTCGGCTTGGTCTCAGGAATGGCACTTATACTTATTTTTTGCTTCCCAAAAGGAAAGGAAAATCGAAATAATTTAACGTTCAAGGATTTGCGGAATTTGTGTTGCCAATTGCAAATGGAATGGAGCAATTATTTGATAGCTTAAGCTAATCACACTTTTTTTTTCTTTCCCAATCTCTGTTTTGTTAGTTCAAATTTGATCAAAAAAGATGAAGAAAATGCGAAAAATAATTTTGGTACGAGAGAGAAGAGCTGGAAAAAATAATATATATCATAGAAAAAGAAATAGTAGAGCGGGTGTTCCTAATTGTAGCGAAGGTTTTAAATATTCGTGTTTCTTCTTTAATATCTCAGTGAAACAGTTAGCAAATGAGTTTAAATTTAGCAATTGAGTAGGCAGATGTCTTGCCTATCGGTTGAATAAAAAAAAGTTTTAAAAGCTAAAAAATCATCCAGTTATGAGCGGTAGAATGAAGTCGATTGATAACCCTCTAATAAAGTGCAATGTTTCCTGTAAGAACGTCAATACAAAAGTTTCCCCAAATAAGAGCGCACCAGTATAAATGCATAGAAAAACTTTTATGATTATCTACGGGATTAATTTAACTTAAAATTTTCTTTATAACAGACCATTGGAAAGAGCAAAGTTTTCTCTATACACTGAGAAAATTTTTATATTTTCATGTCTTTTAAAAATAATCGATTAGGGGTATTACTAGAACATACTGATAATTTACTAAGAAAACTTGATAAAATAACAGATTTTATTTTAGTTCCAAACTGATTTTTGATTTACAAGGTACCACCTGAAAGAGCATGAAAAACTGTATTACAAACTTATTTTATTACATATTTTAATCGTATAAAGTGAAGATAGTAACTTCTTATAGGCATATAAACTATACCGATATTGTACAAAGTTTATTGTATATTCTTATTTGCATAGGCAACGTGATGTGTCAATAATTTTCGAATGCTGTATATTTGCAGCGAATTACTTTCTCTGCAAGCTAGTTGTCACTTAAATCAAGAACATACTTGTCATTATGAATGACACCGACGTATAGCTGGTGACCTCAGAAAACAAAGTTGAGGACCACGGTAGAACTAAACTAGAATCAAATTTTTCTAGGAAATAACTAATTTAGGGTGGGTGTGAGTATGGATATGTTCCTTTTATTATTCTACTACCACATCCACCCACACCCACACCCTCAGTTCAATCAAGTGAATTTAAAGCTAAAATTGTTGAAACGAAAACTTATGGTGAAATCATTGAGAATGAAATAAAGAAACTCGATGTACAAAATTTAACAAAACATGTTCATTTATTAACATTATTTTTGCCTGAACAATTTCTTAAACGTGGTGCTGATCAAGATTGTATTCTTGTTCTTTTACTTATTCATCTTTTAATCTCGAAATGTGATTTATTAATTAGTGAAATACAGAAAAAATTTCCAACAATTGATCAAATTAATTTTGATGATGTTGTTAAATCACATCGAGCAGAAGAATGGAATTTTTGCATGTAAACTTTCTCAATCATTATCAATTTTTTACATGATTCTTCGGAACATTGTCAAGTAGGACCTTTTTTCTTTAATGAAATATTGCGTGGCTCATTAAGGATTATACACTGTTAATATGACCAGAGTTCATAGTCTCTGTCAACTTGTATATTAAAATAGAATTCAAAAGTTACAAATTAGCTGAATTCAGTGACTAATAATTCATCAAATAGTTGAAAACTTATTTTTAACGCAGATGATGTGTAGAAAATCTAGCTTTGTTCAAGAGAAACCTAATTTTCAAATTGAACTCTCTTCTAATCTCAATCTACACCCACACGCATCCATTGCTTAATCTTATTGTAAGAGAAACGGCAAAGAACGCTATACTTGCTCTTGAAATATTTATTTCAACAGCAATGTTTTCTGCAGAGATAATAAATTGATAGAGTCCATGTTTTTGAATGTTTTCTCTCTACAAATCAATTGTTATCAGTACATCAAAATCACAATAGATTTGTATTGGGCGATTACCAATTTTCATATTTATTTTAATTATAGAGCAATGGAAGTGTGTAATCCAGATGGTCTTCGTCATATAGCCGGCATCTATCATGATTTATTAACACATGAAAGATCACTTGATTTTCTTCTTGATCTTTTACAAAGGGATCAATTACATGATTCATTATCATTAAATGCATTAGATAAAACAATATCATTTTATGAAGTATTTATTAATTTTTTTTAATTTTCTTTATTTAATTTGCTCTCTTCTTCTTTTTAGCACATCTATAAAAGTTATTTAAGTCAAGAAAAATTTTCCATGCCGAATTATTTGCGAGATTTAACGTGTGTGGTGTTATCAAGTAGTGATGCACTTCAAACCGATATTCAACGTATACAAGTTGTACAAAAGGTAAAAATAAAAAATGAATTAGAATTTTGTATTAGGTGAAATTGTTGTGCATTGTATTGTTACTTAATTTGTTAAAATTGAGTTTAGAATAATAGCTAATTCAACTTTATTCATGACTGAACAACACATAAGTCATACTGTATTCAACTCATTTTTGATAAATGTAAATAAGTAAAATTTAGCATTACCGTTGACTATTTTTCCTTGCGTATAGCCAAATTTGATAGAAAAGGGTGGCACGAAAATAATTCACTAATAGTGTCCGACGTGGATCAATGCTTTCGGAATCCAACCCGAAGTCTGAGATAGTTTTCGATCAACTAAACTGACTTTTTCCAGAGATTGAACATTTTCTAGAGTTGTATCTGACGGGTTCGTTACTAGGAAAAAAACATAGCCATTTATCCTATAGCTGAATGTTAAACTCCAAATCTTGAATTTTTCCGCTCACGTCAGATCTCTAAAGAAACATCAATGAAATAAGTTGAGACAACACAGTTTTCCCAAACGAAATAGACTTCGATTAAAGAAATCAAACTATTTGATTATTTCAATAAGAGCTCGGCGCAGTTACAACTCTCACGAGTTCTCTCAAAAGTTAAATGAATAAAATCATTATCCCAAATAAAATCCCACCTATCTTATGTGAAGTTTGATATTCGTCTGTTTATTGTTTGCCCTACCCGAGGTCAACAATTTTCCTGACGACTCGATCCGACTTAAATTAGACTGTGCCATTATAAGTAACAATACAATTGCTATTCATATATATATTTACTTTCTTATATAATTTAGCCTGGTAATGATCAAACCCCATTTTCTGTTCTTGTTCAGCATCTTGTTGAAAGTAATGAACACACGCGAACTTACGTTGACAAAGTAATAAACACAAAAAAACTTAGTGTGTAAAAAATATGATTTTGTTTGTCTTACAGATAAATCGTCTTGTGGCACAAGAAGATGATAAAAATCGTTCATTAAATCTCGATTCAAATAGCATATCGTCAATTGAATCATCTATTCGTAATTTAGATCGTTTAACAAAGACATTTCATGAAATATGCTCTGGTTTAACAACTAAAATTCTCTTACTTTCTGGTAAATCATTCCTTTTATATCAAATAAAACATCTTATCTTTAATTATGTAGATGCTAATGAACGAGTAAGCACACAAGATATAGAAAATATTGCATATCAAGCATGTGATAAAATCTATAAGAAAGAAGATAGTGATCCATATGAAAGTCTTAGGTAAATATTTCATATTCTTTTTTAATTAGAAAAACAAATATTCTTCTTTAGAGATTCCATGCATGAAATAGTTTCTATGTTAACAACAATAAGTGATGTATTAGAAACAGGTTTATATGATTCTTCATTAACTGAACAAAATGCTAAACAATCGATTTATTTAATTGCTGAACAATTTAAAACCTTCATAAATGAATCGGATTCAATTCGTGGTAAACTTGAATTAAAAGAAGAAGAACTATTAGATCTTAACAAAATGCTTAAACTTAAACATGATGAATTAAGTGAACATTAGAATAAATTAGAATTGATGGACAAAAAAGAATAAGTAAGCTTAACATACTAAGAAAAAAAGAAATATATAAACTTTATTTTTACGCATAGACACTGTGAAGAAGAGTTAGCTGTTTTAAAAAATGATAAGGAACAGCTTGAACAAGACAACGGTCGATTAAAAGAACGGCTTAAAAAATTAACTAAAAATAAACTTGTGGATGATTTAATGCAGAAGAAAAATGGAGGAACATTGAAAACAGCCGAATTACTTAGTAAAGACATATTCATTTTCTTTTATGTAATAATTTGTTTCCTATTGATTCAGATTCTACAACAGATGAACGAATATCTCTACAATGTCAATTAGCATCGCCATCTGTGAATGATGTAAATTTAATATCAACAGTAAATGAACAAGATGTACAAAATCAAGATGTTTCTTATAGAAATGCTACATGCGTATATATATTCTAGAGTGGAGCACTGCGAAATACTGTTCGACTTTTAAAAGATGAAATATGGCATCTAAAAATGAATCGTTCATCAGTTGAATTAGTTAAACTTGAACAATCAACACCAGCTACAAAAATAAATGAAATAGCTGATATTTATAAAACTTCAACATTACTTTTAAATGTATGTATATCAAATAGAGATGACTACAATAATGTCGATATACAGAGTTTCACTTTATTTTTGAATATGAACATCTCTACTAACGAAGGAGCTACCCCAACTATCATTTATCGTTTGAACTCATATTGGACACACAAGAAGGTCTTGTTAAGACTAGAAAAATCCTGAAAGAGTCCGTGTCTATGAACCTCTGAAGCTGAGTTATAACCATTTAACTGAATTTTCGATCTGAAATTCAGTAACATAATCATAACTTAGGTCGAAAAGCCCATGGACACGAACCGTTTTAGGCATTCATTAGTGTTACCGAGATTTTTTTGTGAGTTTAATATGACCTAAAACAGCGAGTCACAGTTCCCTCGTAAGCATCTCCGTTTTCATGATTTTACATTCTTTATATCAATCATGTTATGATATTTATCTAACACGATATATAAGCTAAGGAACAATATCAGAAGACCAAACGTAGCTTTTTTGTAAAATTTAATATGTAAATCATTCCGACTGCTAATGAGAAACTACCTAGATGTATTATCTTTGCGAGTGTGGGTGCTAGTTCAATCTGAAATATAGCATTACACAGAGAAAATAAAATTATTAGATGTTCATTTCTTGAAATCGGAATCCATTATATTCTTTCTATTAAAAGCAGCATGATGTCTCTTTAAAAATTTAAAAATGTCTTTAGCGATTCGGTTAGTAAGAAGACTTCCATTCTATTTTTCTTATTTTAGAATCTAGTTTCATCAATAGTCAATTATAAAATAACTGGAGAGAATGTGGCAGTTAAACAAGAAATCGTACGATCAAAAATGAAATTAGTTGATCAAACAGCAATTAATGTAAGGACATTTATTTGAGTATCGGTGCCAGAAGTCAAGGCACTCAAGTATTTCTTTGTATTACTCCTGCGAAATCCAAGAAAATACTATGCGGTTTCTAGCATGTTGATTTTTTTGTCGTAGGTGTATATTCTTAAAAAGTCTTACAGAATTAGATCGAAACAAAAGTTTAGTTTTGGTCGGTTCAGGGATGGATTTCGGAAGTCTTCAGATATTCATATTGTTCATTGAAGCATCTATACAAAGCATGAAAGGGCATATTATCAATAAGAGGATGTGGGTGGAAGTGGATCTTCTATTCGTTCACACCCACACTCAAGTAGACTATATTATATGCGGTCCGAATGATTGTGTACATAGAACAAATATAATAAAACCTTTTAATTGACAAGGCTTCCCGAAAATGTTCGAAAATGAAAATGGTTTCTAAAGCCTTTCTTGAATTTGACGATATATTGCATAAAAAATGGAGCATATTTTGATTTCTTGAAGTAGTTCGGATGCATTTTGATCAAGTTATTCTGTTTTCAAATTTTTCTAGAAATAACCAAAAATCATTCTGCTGACATACTGTAAGACTTCGTATGGTTCTTGCATTTTTTCTTGGGCATCTAGCATAGTCATCAAACTCAATCTGATAGATGATCGATTCCTTTGTGCCTTAAGGGAATCCTAGAGCTTCTGAAAAACCGTCCGAAACTCCAGTAAAACTTAACTTTGTAGAAGGTACTCAAGTGCATATATAAAAGTAGGAAAACCAATAGGCTATTTTTTCATGTTTCAACCATACAATATAGTTTTCACAGATGCTTTGAAGAATAAAGCTGCAGAACTTTTCTAAAAAAGAGTTTCGGCTATTGTTCGCTGAAAAACGTATACTATCGGGTGTCCCAGGAATAATGAGCCTCCCAGTATTTTTAAGATTTCCTGTCTATTATCACTGTAAGTAAAGCTGTCTTAATTATCAAAAGAAAGCGCTTAAAATTCTCTACAAAACCANCTTTCTGACTTTTAGTATGCATTACGACTGACCGACGGATTTTGTAATATGGTACATTATGTATGCACTAGGGAGACAAAATAAAAATATTCATAACGTTCGAAGGAAGAAATAGAAAATCTAATCCTTTATGGAGTTTTTACTACAACACTATATAGGATCTATAAGCAATATATTATTGAAATCTGAGAGAAATACCTGAGAAGATTCTCCCAAAAGACTAATCTTTAGATTCAATCATATAACGTATACTTTGCCTGTATCCATAGGAATAGCATACGTTGACTACTACACTACTCTAAATCGTATTTTAATAATGGCTGGCATCATTATGACAACTATCCCAATTATACAAAGTAATAAATGCAATCATAAGAACTACTAATAGTAATAATTTGAATGATCTATGATAAATACCTTTCGTTTTTGTTTTGTCTGAGGAAGAACAACCACATCAGATATTGATGTGACTATAGTATCAATACTTCAAATATATATACTGAACATGTTTATTGTTGTTATCAGACTTGGCAAAATGTTTAATCTAAGTTGTATTATTACAAACATTCGACCATGAAAAAATATGCATTACAATGATTCACACGAGTTTAACAACGATAATAGCTACATCCGTGGTACTATGAGTCTTAAATCCAATGGCAAATAACTAAAACGAGCGTGAAATGCATTGAATGTTTTCTTAATAAATATTAAAAGCTTAATATTTTGACGAATCAGTTCATCTTTATATCTCAACTATGATTTTGAGCTGTATTTCTTTAAGCCATGTGATATGTTAGAAAATTTTCAAAATCTATCAACAAATCTAAATATTGACCTATCAAGTATTATAACTGACAAGACGATTTTTTTCTCTCTGGATACTCCAATCAAAATCGTCAGAGAAAACAACTTCTACTTTCGAAAAACAGCTGACATTTTATCTCAGTTCATATTATAGACGAAGATGTCGAACTCTCTCTATTTCTTTCTTTCTTTCTTTCTTTTTTCTCCGGTCATCATGGTCGACGGCATCGATGGTCGAATAGGAGAAGAAGTAAAAAAAATCATGCATGCACAGACACACTAACATCATTCGGGCAATTCTTTCCTATCGTTGACCTAGTCGTTCATTTATATCTTGCTAAAGAAATCGTATGCAAACATGTCGAATAACTCAGATAATAACAATCCACAACCAAATATGCGTTCAGTAAAATTACAAACAAATTTATGTATATCCCCATCATGTGATTTAATAAGTGAAATTATTTGTCGTCATTGTTCACAGAAATTTTGTAAATTATGTTTTATGTGTCATCGAAAAAATATTCTTGATGATATGCGATCAATGTATGAACAAATGATAATAAATCGTCGTATAGGTACTGCTGAAGTTATGACATTTATTGATAAACAAGCAAAAGATGCACATGAACAAGCTAAAAAACTTATTGATGATGCTATTGATCGAATTGTTCAAGCAAGTAAAAATATCTATACTTATATTGAAAATCGTCGACATGCTAAAGTAAATAGTTTGTTGTTTTTAAGAAAAACAAACAAAGTAATTTTTTTTTTATTTTCAAAATCTTATTTAGCTTGGTCGATTAGATGAATGTTTAGAACAATTTGATAAAGATTCTGTTTTGCTTGAATCAAAAATAAAAGAGGAGATTTTTTTACCGGCTGATATTATGTTAGATTTACGTCATAAATATGCATATAATATGTTTGATAAAATAGTTCCAATAATGGAAAATAAAGCAAATGAAATACAACGTAAAAATGAAATATTTTTTGATGATTATCGACATTATAAAGAATTAATTAATCTTCGACAAAAATGGACATTTTTTCAAGCTGCATTAACAACAGTTTATTATCCGATGAAAAAAGATATTTCTTTGGATAAAATTCTTACTTTTCTTGAATATCGTCATGTAAGTTAAAGGAAGACCAAACTTAATTCTATTAGAATTTAGTTGTTTTTGAAATTTTCTTTTTTGTTCAGGATCGAGTATTGGACAATTATCGAGAATTTTTATCAAAAAATGAAGATGCAAAAGGTAAATAAAAACAGACATGGGGTTTGTTATTTTATTTATATGAAATTTTTCTTTTAGAATTATCATTAAAACCGGCTGAAGACTTGTTAAGTGAATTAAGTTTTCTATCAAAAAAGAAATTATCAACAGAAGTAAGCAATAACTTACAGACAGGCATGAGCGGGAGCAATCGTTGTTTTTAGCCCTGATCAGAAAAAAAATCGGTTCAAATCTCAGTCTAAAAAACCTTAGTCCAGATCTCTATGCCAGTCTGAAATAAATTCGGTTCTGATCAGAAAAAACTTTGATTCCGACTTTGTCCCAATATAAAAAAAAATTCATGCTGATTTCTGTTGTGGTCTGAAATAAGCACGGTCCAGGTCTTGATCTGAAAACAAAATCTCGCTGCCAGTCTCTATTTTTGTCAAAAATAAAATTCGTCAAGGCTTCACCAAGACCATTTCGCTCATATGTACTTCAAGATTATTTCAATAAGAAATTTTATTTGCTTTTAGTCTGATAATTTTTGTTATGTTGATGAATGTATTAGTGAAATTCATATTGATGAACAACAACCTCATCCGGAATCAATTGTTAAAAGTAGTGAAATGAAAGAAGAAATTGAAATAATACCAAAAACTGATAGTGGTAATTGTGATGATGAAACAAATTCAAGTTTTAGTGGGAGTTGGCAAGTTGAAAATGAAGAAGAAGAAGAAGAAGATGATGATGATGATTATAATTATGATATACGATTTATGAAACTTAGTCAATCAATGAAGGCGCTTGAAAACCAATTTGAATGTGATTTTCGACTTGCTGTCAATAATGATGAGACTAATTAAAATATTTGCTTTATATTATATAGACCAGCAAACTTAATTCTCTTTTTTTTCCTGTGAATTCTAACGTCTATGTTGTGTAATTTTTCTTTTTTTTTTTTGTCTCCTCCAATGTTCTTTTTTTCTTCTTCAACAAATATTAAAACATTTCTTTTACACTTAGATGAAGAAAATGTTGGTGGCATAGCTAAAATAATGGTTGGTTTGATCATTGTTATTATATTATGGAGGAGGTGTTATCAAAATATTAGAAAAATTCATATTTAATAAAAAAAATTCTTTTTAACTTATAGAATATCGCTTGTTCTACTTCGTTGTCATATGAATATGTAGATAGAGGACTAGAAAGGTTTTTTTCTGTGTGACGTTTTTAAAAGCCATATGTTGAAAGCAAACATTCTGTTATAATGCTTAGACACATTTAGGATTATGTTTAAAATCTCAGCTTTGGAAGTCTTATGCATCTTCATATTATCTCACTTCTTTCAGATTAGTTACATACTATTTTCGACATGACCTTGAACCATCTTAGTACGCAGTGGACCGAGCAAAGTATTAGATCGTTTACTGAATAATATAAAATGTGAACTGAATGTAGAACTCAATGAAACAGATTAGTTTTACTTTACATAGGGCTCTGTCATTGTTATAAAAGTTGTACTCACCATTCAACATCATAATGTGAAACTCTTCGCGTACGAGTTCAAAAATAAATGTGTGATTAATCTGAAGAAAAAACAAACATGCATTGTCTCTTAAAAGCTAAATTTTTGCACATAATTGTAAGTATGTCTAAGTACTATAATAGAGTACTTGCATTCAAGTTATGGCTTTTAGGAAAGCCGAGCACACAAAAAAAAACTTTCTAGTGCTCTATGGAATTTGGCACAAGAATAATTTTCTTTTTTGATAACATGGCATGAGAAAAAATAAATGACATACATAGATGGAGTGATTTTGAATATGTTTTAGTTTATTTATGATATTTTATTGATAGGAACATAATTATTGTATTTTTTATAATTTGATTTTTTTTTCTTGCTTTACAAATCTATTGTATAATTAATTAAGTAGTACAAGTATAAATATGTAATGCATAATTATATGCAAGTTTATTAATTTGAATAGTTCGATGAGAACTGTTGTATAGAAGTGTAAAAGTTTGTCACTTTACTCAGATATGATTTGTTGCATATAGATTAATAAAAACAAAGAATAAACAAATTACATATTTATTCACATGAGATTACTTCATCAATATACAATAAACATGAACACAATAATATTAACAATCAAATTGGAAAAATCAGAAGGAGTGAAAATTAGGACATGTTTTATGGATATATATATGTATACAGATGATATTTGATTAAGAAAATCATCATGTTCAGAACGATTTTTAATGGAATAATAATACATTCGACAATATTTTGAACGGATGAATTACTATCGAGATGGATGATTGCACGGAATGTTGTTAGCAGTTTATTAAATAATATCATAACGTTTTGGATTAATACAATTGAATTGTAACAGTATGCATTGAACTATGAGGAAAAAAAGAGACTAACACTACATTGATTTTGTTAAGTACAAGTACGATCAAACGAAAGAGTCAATTTTGCATTAAATGTTGTGATCAAAACTACAAAATTCAATGCAAAAGTTCTTAACTAGTGCCAGCACTTATTATATCACTACACTTACAATGTATATATACATAAGAATATGAGTAAAAATGATACATGAATAGGTCAAATTTTGAAAAGCTTATTAATATTGGTTACATGGACAACTATGTATTATTATCAATAAAAATAACTTTGATATTGATATCCATGAGTGTAGCTGATGTGATAATTCATAAACTATATGCATTAAATGGATGCTTATCGAAAAGTTATCTAGCACATATTGCAAAACAAAAAAGAAAAAGATAAATTTAAAAAGATTAAAGAAGAATCACAATTAGGAGATACAGGAAAACATATCATGGTGAGTAAGAGATTATAATGTCTTCTGGTCGGATGGATTGATTGAATGAATCTTGGCTAACGTATTATAATAGTTTATGAAAGAAGTCAAAGGAATCTTGATAGAATTTATTCATGCGTATGCTAGGTCGTATCCACTGGGGAATTAATGAATACAAACTGTTTTCATATAGTGCTGATATGTTTTGTTAACAATGGTTTTATTTACTATATGATAAACCATTAATCGTTCATTTTGTTCAACAGTTTAAAGTAATTTTGCTAGACACTCCTCATAGTTTTCTTTTGGTGTAGAAAATACAAATTCTTTTTGTGAAGATCCATAGTGGAACATTTAAATATATGATATATTATTTGCAGACATCGTCTATAAAGTCTATTTATTGTCTCTTTCGATGAAATTGAGAAAAGACAATAGATCATTGACATCAAGTATAGATACGGCCAGGCATACTTGGTAAAGAATAAATAATTTGTCATAATATACAGTGTTAATATACTATCGTGTTTTTATATTAGAAATGCAGATCTATATGATAAAAGACTTTGAATATCTGTTATTTATAGTTTTTATTATGCGAAGGATATATTCAATAATAAAAAGTAAAGAAAAATGTCACTAAATAAATCATTTTTGTGACACATGATCGTAAAAAGTGTTGAAATATGTAGAGAAGGAATTTATAGCTCCCCACAGATCATAATAGACCATCAGAGGCACATTAGAAACATCTCATCATGGATACCTTAGCAACGACACATCACTGACTGTGACAGACGTTGCTGATATATGATCACAGACTGTATATGAGATAAAGTCTCGTTATAATATATGAACTACTTCCTTAGGCCCCGAACAGACTGAAAAAAATAAAACAAATTAAGCAACGTGATTGGTCTATTTCGATTTAAATCGTCTTTTTGAGACGATTTATTCATTAATTCAGTTTTAATTCACTTTGAATTAGTCGGTCTGTTCGGGGCCTTATTGCGTATCCGAAGGATTAAATAAAAGGATAAAGAGGAAATGAGTCCTAAAATAGATAGAATAAAATAATCATTCTGTGAGTAGGAATAGCATCTTCATCATGTTCCACATTTTAATCTCAGAGGAATTGCGCTAACAGATTTTATTGTTGAAACATTTCATCAACAAGTATAATCAACGTCATTAGTTAAACCTGAAAATTTCTATTTTCTCAACAAATCAAAATATATGCCATATTTTCTTTTATTTTTATAACTAGATACAATATCATTGTGATTTTTTTGACTAATTCTATCAACTGTAGTTGTTAATAAAATGTCTCGACAAAAGAAAAGGAAATATTTTTTATTCAATAATATTTCCTTAAATTATTATAATTAAATGTCTATAATTTGATAGTTTTAAAGCTATTTAGAAAGTGTATTCTATATGTAAACTAATAATAATAATAATTTTTGATAATAATGATCTACAAAAGGAATATTTATCTTTTTAAATAATCTTAAAGTTATTTGAATAAAAACGAAAACTTCTGTAATCTATAACTAGGCTTTTAGTCATCATGCAAATTTTTCTCAATACTTCATATATTACTTATTTTGCTTCGATACTATTGGTTAATAGAAAAAAAAAGATACTTTATCTTCATTTTGTCATATTGAATATATAGTCACATCATGCTAATACTTATCGAATTAATCTTGGCATAAAATGAGTTACTAGTATCTATTTTTCTATTAGACCTAGATGTGTAAATAATATTATCAAATGTAAGAATGATAGCAAAATCAAATTGAATCGGAGTTTTTTCTTTTTCATTTTTGAACAAAAGAATCTAAAAGCAATTTTGCACAAATGGTTGCATATCAATTGTAATGTGAAAGCATTTTCTCTAGATTTATTGACCTAATTCTTTTTCTCTCTCTCTCTCTCTATTCATATAACATAACCAACTATCACATTCTCTACTTTCTCATCACAACTATTGAATTCTTCTTCTCTTATTTTCTTTTTCTTCCGCTAGTCTTCAATAATGTCGAGAGAAAAACAAGCTGTTTCTCTCTTTTTTCTGTCACTCGGAAGCGTAAAAATAGGAAATACATCGTGCATATAGAGAAGAAACAAGAAGACATTGACATGGAAATGTACAATAAAGAATTGGCTGATAACGCAGCTATGCTTCGTGGTACAAACGTACCCGTTGAACCTCCATCATTATCACAGCATCCTGAATTAAATCGAGTTCGTAAACTTTTATTTTTCTTCATTGGTATTGATCTAGTAAGTTGTACAATTAAAAACCTATATTTTAATATAAAAATGGTTCACATATTTAGGTTTTTAGCTTGATCAATTTTCTTTTTATTATTCATTCATATGCAGCTAGTGAATCATTAGAAAGTCAATCACCAAATAGTAGTTCTCAATTAGTCTTAATTATTGTCTCTTTAATTTACTATAGCTTTGGATTATTAGTAACACATCGTTATTATCAAACAGGTTTATTCGTTGTAAGTGTCATCTAGTACTTCAAATATCTATAGTAGATATTATTACGTCTATATTTAGTTTGCATTACTTGGACTAATAGTATTTATTTTGACAAGCACAGTTATCATAATGCTGTTAATTCGTATCATTCATACAGCCAATCATGTGGGATTTGTTGCCGCTGGAATAATCGTTGCTATAATATTCGTGACGATTTATTTTCTAGCTTTATTTTTACAAGTAAATAATATTGAATGATTTTATATGAAATTTAAAAGAAAATTTATTCATTTTTTTCTGAATTTTAGATATTTATCATTCGATATGCTTTTAAATTATATACATTACTTAAGAAAAACAAGCGCTTAACAATTGAACAAATTTAATTATATTCATTAATTATACATACATATAAACGTAGACATTATGTTTATTATTGGGATTTATAAACCTTTCACAAAAAAAAAGAACAAAAAGAAATCTCTTGGAATTGGAAAAAAAAGAACTTTTTTTTTTCTCTTCGACTTTATTATGAAACAATATGTTTTTTGTAATATCACGTTTTTGCATGTTTTCAAAGAGACAAATGACATATATTTTAATTGTCACTTCACGACAAAATATGTCATTCTGGATATTGTTTTTAATATTCTCGTTTTTATAATCATGAATGGTAACATTAATTTACAGTATTTCTTCGTTTAAATAGGACTATACTTAATTAAAATGTAATATGAGATATATTTTAATTAACTTCATAGAAATAGACATATCCAATATTTTCAAATTGCTTGTTTGTATTTGATTAAGAATATATTCTCAAAGGATAACTGACTAAGTAGTCTTGGGAGATCGGTAAAAATTTTTTTTTGATTGAAATTATCTTTATATATATATAGTTTTCTAGGATGAATAAGAACAATAGATAGAAAATGACATGATGTTACTTCTGTTTTTTTTTCATGATAAATAAATCCATCGTCCTGGCAAGATTATATATCCTCATTAATAATCTTAGAAATAAATTGTTTATCAAATATCAAAATGACAAGAATCAAATACTAAATACTAAGGAATATATCGACTAACATGTATCAGCAGTTCAAAAGAAAAAACGAAACAAATATATATATATATACATATATTATTAATTAAGCTAAAATACAGTTAACAATTCAAAATGTTTATCTAATGAAGGTGGTTCATCAGCAAAAAACATTTTATTTATTGTCTTATGATCATTTCCAGATAAATTTGTTGACTGTTCAATTAATAATTCAGAGAATTTTTTATACTGTTGAGTATGATATTGTTTGTATGGACTTTGTGAATTTATTTGATATGATGTAACATATATTTCAGTTTTTATTTGATAATGAACAAGAGTTGAAATAAGATTTTTATCTGTTGGCCAAATCATTATTCGATTTCCATTATTATGTCCACTGTCAAGCCAAATAATTGTACGAATACGTGATACAAATTTGGAAAGATCAACATCTGTTGTCATAAAGCGTAAAACTGTTAATTCATGAAGAAGTTGATTGAGTACAACACAACCTTTGCTAAAGCCAACGAGAATAATATCCGATAAAGATCTAAAAATTTTCATTAAGAAAATAATGAAAAGAGAGAAATTAAACAACTAACGTTGTTTGTTTCATAATTTGTTCATCAAGTGCACGTAAATGATGAAGACCAATTAGATTATTTGTATCGTATGAAATTGGATCACCATATTCATTTGTTTTCGGTACAAAATTCGAAAATCTTTTAAAATAATAAATAAAACAAAAAAAAATCAAAACATTAATTAATTTATCAAACCTTGAAAAAGTTCCATCTTTCATTTCATTAGGTCGTATAATAACAATTGAAGAATCTAAAAATCGACGACAAAGAAGTTCGCCAGTTGAGACTAAATTCCACTGTTGATATTTACGATTTTCTCTCGATGAATTCATTCGTTCTGGTAAATCCTTAACATAGAATTAATAATCAAAAAAAAAACAACCTTATATTTTTCTATAAGATTTGTTAATGAATAGACAATGTTTCTTTTTTGAGAAAAAAAAAAAAGAGTTTTAACATATATTTTCTCAATATGATAGGAAACATACAAAGAAATAATTTCAAAATCAAATTAAATAAAATCTTGAAAGTCAATGAATTATTCTATTCTATCTTTTATGAGTATTTCTATAAATGAACATTCCCATAGAATTCCTAAGGAAATAAATTTGATGAATCCATTCTAAATGAAATTATTTTTCCTGTTTACGGAACTCTAAATAAAACATAAAAGGATATATGTTAAAAATCATGAGAAAGTTAATTGTTCAACATGTCTATGACATGAATGCAATGGTCTCATTCGAATATTATTTATGTCTATTAATCATTTGTTTATAATGTTTAAATACAGTGGAAACTAATATTATTCAACAAGGTTTATTTTCAATTTTTTTTTCTGTTATCGTAAGCGCTTGAACAAATCCAAATAATGATTTGAGTAGAGGAAATTGTTTTTAACATGAATATAAGGAAATAAAAATGATTATCAGATGCTCCAAGATAGAAACTTTGCCAAGTCAAAATATTAGTTTTTTCAACATCTAAAATGGCTAAATATAATTTTTGTTTAGACTACATAGAACAATAGAATAAATAGTTTTCTATACAATAAAACATCTTCTAGTTCGCTGCGATTTTTTTTTTGCCTGAAATACAGCAATCTTACAGAAACCCCTAAAGTCTTCCTTTTTACTATTTTCTATACAAAGTCATTTTTTGACCTTCAATCACATTGTTGTATCTCTTAGCTGAAAAACACTACAGAGAACTCGGAAATGTTTTTATTTTGTAGAAAATTATTTGCTTCATTGTTCTATGCAATCGAAACGAAATTATATTTACGTATTCTAGGCGCTGAAATACCGACGTTGTGGTCTTATGAAATTTCTATCTTTGCAAATCTGATAAGAAATTTCATTTCCTTATATTCTAACCACTATTTAGATTTTTTCTATCGCTTAAGGCAGCAAAAAAGTTCTGGTACCCATTCTAAATATATATATATATATATATATATGTATGAACATATATTGCAATATTAGACTACTGTTTGGAAAGAAAAATGAGTAAAGAAAAAAAATTATCGAATAATAAATATTGAGTTTTATTGTACTAAATGAAACGAGAAAATATATAAGTCTCTGCCGAGCACCACTATTAGAATGGTCAAAATCGATGAGAATCGTTCACAATCGATGAAAATGAATAAAAACAGTTTTTCTGCATATACGTTAAATAACCTCAGAAATACAAGAAGTTTTCAAAATAGTAAAAATAGTTGAAATTATCGGTTTAAAAAACATTGTTTACGTGCCACGGTATTAGTATCCTGCGGGAACGCCATTTTCGGTTCCTGTTTCCGTAAAAAGAAAAATATTTTTGTTCTCGTTCTCGATCCTCACGGAAAACGGGAAGGAAAAAGACGGGAAAAAATTGTTCCCGCAAAACATTACATGATATACAATTGAGACTCAAAGTTCCATAAAACTCAACTAGATAAAACTAATAGTATGTTGTATAATTTATAATGGATAATTGAAAAGTTTTTAAACAAAATCTTTATTTACTTTTGACTCGCTAGAAAGTATTTTCGATGAGTCAAAAGCTATGAATTTTATTCTCTTTTCGAATATAAGATTGGAAATTTTGTTTGAGAATAATGAAATAATGTTTGAAAAGATTAAAAAATTAATTTCAGCAAAAATCTTTTTTATTTTCACTATTGTAATTCGAGACTAAAAGTTGAGATCTTTATTCATATGCCAACTTGTAGATTAGAAATTATCGTACAAAAATGCGCTATTTTTTTTTTTGTCTTTGGACAAAGTCCCTCAATTTTCGTTTCTTTCTAAATACTTTTGAAAGAAAAATGGCAACACTTTCACATTGAAAACAAGCTATAGCTTAATTCAAAATTGCATTTTGTAGAGAATTGTCTGTTCTACTAAATGGCTGACTCCGAGAGTTTTTAGTATTTTTGAAAAGGAACTTACAGAGTAAACAAACATCTATTGGCTCATCACTAACAATAATTTTTCAGATCCTTCAAAAAGCTTCTTACTACTCTTGAACACAAACATTTTCAACTTCATAATCGAAAACAGTATAAACTCATAACTTTTGACTCATCTAAAATATTTTCTAGAAAGTCCAACGTGAACAACCATGTTGTCTAAAACCTATCTGATCATTCATCATTCATGATATGATGTTATCTAAACAAAATGATTTCTATCAAACATCATTTAGAATTAGTTTGCAGTAATTTTCATAGTATCAAGACAAAAACAGAACTATTGTATAATAAATTTACTCTGGCTTTAATTATGACGTACCATGCATGTTATAATCTCGCATGACACTAATTACGTAGGAAATCTTGCGTGATACATTGACTCTATTTTTTCTTCTTTATCAAGAATAAGAAGTTTTCTCATGGTGATATGTTCAATAATTAGTTGATTACAATGAACGAATTGAATAATCAAAGTTTTATCACGAACTTTAATATCATAAATTTCCAGGTCAAGTTAAGTGAAAAATCTTGTGTGTCAATCAAATTTTCAAGTTTTATCTCATAGTTTTGATAAATAAAAAACATCAACACAATTTTATCTTCTTTCTTCTATTCACAAGTTTTCATTCAAAATTATCTCTCAATTGTGTTTTTAAATAAATTGTTTAATATCACATGACAAAAAACGAATAGTTACTATACATATGAGATTCAGAAAAAGTTCGTTTCGGAAATTTGAATGAAAAAAGAAAAACTGAGTATATGATATATTGTCACAGTAGATTGTATCAAAAGTCAATCTTTAAGACTTTATCTAATTAGTATATTTGGATTTATCTCGTATTAATCTCAGATTTCTTTTGTATGATAGTGTGAACTTAATCTGTAATAAAATGTTAAGAATGATTGAATACAACTCAAGTCATTGAACTTAGCAATGTGTCTTTCTCTATAATGCCGAGTACCTAAATTAAATCGAAATAGTGATTTGGATAGTCAACAATACCATTTACAAGATCACAAGACGCTGAGATATTTGAATTTTTTTGTATGTGTTCGTAATTTAATAAGGGAAGGTCGTAAAAAAATCTGGCGATATTTCATTCTTTGTTTAGAATTATATGCTCTTTTAGATGGTACTGTCGAAAACGAATTCTCAGAACATTTTCGACTATGTTCAGTTCTTTTTTGTAGAAAACTTTTCAAACATAGTCTAAATATGAAACCTTGATATATAGTGTATTTGATAGCGAGTTTTATAGACTGTCCGGAATAGCTGTTTGGATTTGATTTAGGTACTTGACATCAGAGAAAAAATGAAAATTACCTTACTCTTATAATTTTGACCAGTACTATACTTACGAATTGATTTTCTCGCCCATAGATACTACACAGTGTTCTGATAATAACTCTAACGAGGGAAGGCCACCAACTGTTCAATCGCTTTTGCGTTGAAACCATTTGCGTTATGTAGTTCTCAAAGAGATATGAATACGCTGAAAATATTTTGGGCGGATAACTTATTGTTACGAAAATAGTCCATTTGTAAGGTATGGATTTTATTGAGTGCCTGGGGTCCTCCTCAGGAACATTAAAAAAATTGATTTTCGAATTTCGACTTGAAACTTTACATAGAAAGACGCCCCAAGGAGAACAACTTTTTGTGAACGTTTCAGATCTTTCTAGTGTTCCTATCACTAGACATTGCTGTTGTGAAATTTGTATTTTATATCCTTCAAATAAAGTAGCAGATTTGGTGAAACAAACAATCAAAAGGCCTAAAACTTTCAGAAAACACTATTATCGTTGAGAAGTATTTCTCTGTAAAGTTTCAAATCGAAATTCGAAAATCAATTTTTTTAATGTTCCTGAGAGGGGCCACGGCAATCATCAAAAACATACCTTACAAATGGACTATTTTCATAACAATAGGCTATCCGCCAAAAATATTTTCTGCGTATTCATAACTCTTTGGGAACTGCATAATGCAAATGGTTTCAACACAAAAGCGATTGAACAGTTGGTGACCTTCCCTCGTAAGAGGACTTTGGATTCTATGGAGATTTGAAAAAGTTATCGAATTTCTAATATGTCTATTTTCTAGAAGTTCCAGGTTTTCGAAACATTTGTATTTCCGAAATTCGATCTGAAACTTTGCATGTGTAGAGAATTCAACTAGATTAACTTCCATAAAAAAATTTTTTTCATAAGTTTTGAACAAAATCTCTTTGAGATATGAAGCTATCAAAAAATACATGCTGTTTAAACTATCAATGGAACCGGGTCTATATATCTTGTAAGTCTCATATTTCAAGGAAATTTTGTTCAAAAATTTGTGAATTTTTTCTAAGGGAGCTAGTCTAGTTGAAGAGCAATACTTATATCTATACCCTTTCGGTGTATCGAAACAGAAAGAAAACCAATCAATAGTATTACATAAAAGCTTTTATTCCTTGTCTTTTTCAATAGTAAATATTTTATTCAAATTTATCTACTTCAGTTTTCGATATTTTTTACTTTTGATCAATTGAGGGAGAATCGAATTATGTCCTTCTAATTTTTGTTATCAAATCCTACAAACTTGCAACTTCTTATATTCTATTCTAGAAAATGATTTTTGTATGTCCTTACTCTACAAAATCGTAGGTAACAGAATCACAAAAAAAAAAAAAACTTTCTATGATTGAGGAGACATCTTATAATACGTTCATGCATCAAATCCGATCATCAATCCTCTCGTACTACCTGAACATCTCCGCCAAAAAAATAAACAATACTATTTGATGATGATTGAATTGAATTTGGAAAAAGTAGAACATCATTTTTACGATTTTCATAACCGACTAGTTTTTCCAATAATTGATAATTATTTTGATTTGATTTTGTTGCCATTGTAGTACTATATGGTAAACCAAAAAACATAAGAAATTTAAAAAATGAACGATGATATCGATGAATTACCATCTTGAAAATACAAAGAAAACCAGAGAGAATCTCTTACGACAGTAATAACTAACCTGGTAGAATTTAATATAAATCAAAAGAATTGACGATGAATACAAGAAAAAAATTGAAGTTTATTATCATACAAATTAATCGTTAATTAATCTGTAACAAATAGAATTAAGTTAATAATCAAATATTTTATTTTAAACTTGGTGATAGACAAAAATTTCTTGTAATAATAGAAAGAAAATCCTATGATATGTCATAAATTATGATATAAATGTCAATTAGATTTCTTTTGCTTGAAATTCATTCTCCACTTATAATAATTATTTCTTCGATCTAGAAGATTTGTACTATAAAAAATAATATTACACACTTACCAAAAAAAAGAAACACTCACAATAAATAGACCGTATTAATGTGTTTTTTCTAGGACACTGAACTATTATTCCGCAATGTTGTCAGAAAAGTTTTTCACTTGAAAAAAATTAGTTTTTAATTGTTATTAAAGAAATGTTCGTAATTTCTCAATTATTTTAAAGAATAACAAGCACTCGAAAAAATAATTACTACTATGCTATCTAATATAAAATGAAATTCTAATCAGATTAATAGAAATATCAAATTCATCAATGAAGATGTTTATCTTGTTATGAATTATTAAAATACATTAATATTAATCAAATTATTTTGTTCTCATCATATTTTTAAAAATCTAAAGAATATATTAAAATAGAGCAACATATTTTCTATCGAATTATATTGAAACAAAGTTTTTCAATAATAGTTAAATTCATTAAAAATAAACTAAAACTTCTTTTTTGAATAATCTGTCAATTAGATTGATATCGTTTAATAAAATCTTAAAATTATTAATCAACAATATAAACGACAAATTTTCCATTTTTTTTTTCTTGATGCATTCAGTCTAATACAATCAATATATAATATATACATACAAAAAAAAAACTTATTTGGATACAATATATTCTTTTTTTTTTCTTGGGTATTATCTCTGAGAACAACGAAAAAAGAAAACAAACAAAATAAGTTTTCTACACGCACAAAATAAACAAAAACAAACACGATGAGATGCATATCTAATAAGTACAGGAATAAATTTTTTTTGTCGAATATAAACAAACAAATAAACAATAATTATCCATCAAAACCGAATACATCAAAATCAGGTTTTTCATCATCATTAGATTTGAATGAAGCTTAACAACAAACAAACAAATATTATAAATATATATTATTTTTTTTATATTTTCTACATACCTCGAATTATATTACATTTTCTTTTATTTGATAAATCATTATGATTATCATCATCATCATCATCGATTTCATCAAATTTTCTTATTATTCCAATTTGTTTTTTACTAGCTGATGATATTGATTTAATTGTTGGTATTTGATCATAATCATCATCAACACTTTCAATTATATCTTCAACATTCGGTGCTAAATCTTGTTCTTCTTCATTTAATAATTGTTCATCATCTGTTATACCTTCTTCAATTTTTAATGGATTTATATGAATATCATTTTTATTATTTATATTAATATTAGGTTTTTCTTCAAGTTCATCATCAGCATAATCATGTATATCATCATCATCACCAATATCATTTGTTTGATAATCTCTATCATCATATGAATCTTGTTTTGGTTCATGTACAACATATGTATGTCTGTCAAGTAAACGTGCTGATGTAAATTGTCGATGACATATTGGACAGCGAAAATCATCTTCTTGTTGTTCATCATCTTCAGCACCTGATAATGCACCTATATAACGATGTTGTAATGATGCAGCACGTCGTTGTGGACGACGGTTCATTGTTGTTGGAGAATTCATTGTTGCTGTTGTTGTCGGTATTGATGTTATTGTTGGTGTTAAAGAATTTCTATGTGTACGTGTAACATGTGCACGTAAATCAGCACGTGCTGCAAACATTAAACCACATTCACTACATTGAAATGGACGTGTACCACGATGTTTATTCATATGATCCTCTAATTGTTGACTTGTATTTGCAGAAAATTCACAATGTGTACATGAATGTATTGTTTGACCTTTATGAGTTTTACCATGCATACGTAATGAATATCTTAAATGAAATCTTTTTTTGTTTTCTAAATAAAAAAAAAAAAATTTGAAATGTGAACATACTTATCGGGAAAATCTTCATCACATTTATTACATGATAATGGTTCAGATTGACGAGCATGTTGTTTACCAATATGATAACGAAGATCAGATTTTCGAGCCATAACTGATGGACAATATGAACAAGGAAATGATGGTTTTTCAGCTTGATGAGTTAACATATGAGCTTTTAAACTAAAATAAATTTATAAATTAAATAGTAATTCGAATAGACTTGAATAAGAAGGAAGAACAACATTCTGATAAGTTAAAAAGAAGAAATTGCTTTTGAATTAAGACTATGTTCATTATGCATGCTAAAGTCCGTCGAGACAAGGACCAACACGATGAGTTCTAATGTACAGTATTATGTGATTGAATGTCGTGGTCCTCCTCAGAAAAAAAACTTATTTTCAAATTTAGGGTAAAGACTTTGCAAAAAGAAAGACCTTAACAAGAACAGTATATCGTGAATGCTTTAGATCTTGTCGCTACTCTAATCATAAGATACAACTCTGGTAATAGCGTGTCTTTTATTTTGTTTATATAAACTGGTAGATTTTATGCTTGATTTTCAGAATATAAGCAAATTGAAAGATTTATCTCTATGCAAAGTTTCAAATCGAAATTTGAAAATCATTTTTTTTTCTGCACAACAATATTCATTTTAAAAATTCTATAGAAGTACTGTATCTGTAGAGTATCCATAATAGCTCATTTGGGTCTAACATCGTTTCGACTCAAAAGCAGTTGAACAGTCGGAAAGCGTCCCTCATTAGATTCTATGCTAATGCCAGAATAAGCTATAACTAGTCAAATGTTAATTTTAGAGTAATTGATATTTTTTCTAGTATAATTTTACATCAGATACTATATCAAGTTCGAATGGTTGTACAAATATGATGGAATCAATCTGAGAAAATGAGTAGACTCGAACTATCAATAATATTATACACTTAAACAAACCACTGATTTAACATGAACAGAATGAAGACCATAGACTTTGTTAACAGTTTGAAACAATTTGTTCTCCAAATCGAGTAAAAGCACCTTTATCAAGCCAAAAGTAGTCTCATTTTTTTCTGTTTAACTTTCGAAAATCCAACAACATACAGCATTGAGTTTTCTATAGCAAGGGTAATCAAACAATGAATGAGATATTATATTTATACGATCCTCTTCACTCTACGGTATTCTCATTGATATTTCACTTTTAAAAGTATGCAAAAAATATTGCCGCTTGACAAACAAGTTTTCTAAATTTTTAGAGCTCTTGTTGAAGGATTTTCGTCAAATGTCAGAAAGAAGCAAATCTTCACAAATTTCTATGGTCCGATCTTGCCACATTAAAAGTGTGTATGCTCTGTTTCGTCTGAGATAGCCCATATATACTTAGGGCATACCAAAAGTTCTGGTCACGGCGTTTAGAGGATCTTTTCGGATAAGGGGACTTATTTAGAAATGAACAACCAAAGATATCTTGTTGTAGAGTTTTTTGAGACACACCGAATGGTATATAGTAAATCCTGTTTTCATAAGACTTTAAACGAACTAGAGTCACTTTACTGATAGACGACTACGAATCCACACCCAAGCATGATAAGTTTCTGAATATTGTAGTCCTTGGTATTAGTCGAAAATATCGTTTCTCACAAACAATTTTGTAGTTTTTGACGGGCTACATCCTTCTATATGTAGCATCTTCGGTCATCTTGTCAGTGTGTAGTCGTCTAACAGTAAATTGACTCTAACTCCAATGAAAACAACATTTGCTATATACCATTCGACGTGTCTCAAAAAGCTCTACAACATGGTATATTTGATTTTTCATTTCTCAATAGGTCTTCTTGTATGAAAAGATTCTTTAAACTCCGTGACCAAAACTTTTGGCATACTATAAGTACATATATAAAACAACAAGACGATTTCTACTATTTCAAAGGAAAATAAAAACATATGTTTAAACTACCAAATAATCTTACCTATTGCTTTGAGTAAAACGAAAATTACAAATTGTGCATTGATACGGACGTTCACCTACAAAATAAAACATCTAACAATTATTAAACATTTTCATTTTATTATACCAGTATGTACACGTAAATGTCGTTTAAGTTTAAATGTATCTGGACTACAATATGAACAATGTGGACATGCATAAGGTTTTTCCTATATATAGAAAGAGAATCAACTTTAACTTTCGAAAAAAAAAAAAATCAAGGATACATACTCCTGTATGCGTACGAATATGTCGTCTTAATTTACTCAATTCAACAGTAGCATAACCGCATTCAGCACATCGATGTGGTTTTTCAAGTGTATGTCTGTAAGAATATTTTTAAATAAAAAAAAAAATTTTTTTTTAAATGAATGTTTATTTACTTATATCGAACATGTCGGATAAGTTCTCCACTTGTTGTAAATGAAAATGAACAAAATTTACACTACGAAAAAACAAAAATTTGTTTTTACAAAGCAGAAATTTGTTTCTTTTTACTTGAAATGGTTTAACACCTAAATGTGTATTAACATGATTAGTTAATTGTATAGTTGTCTTAAACGATCGATCGCAGTAAGCACCTGATTAAAATAAAATAAAATGATTTATTCATTTTGTTTAAAATTTTTTTACATTTATGTGGTCGTTCAGTTGAATGAGATTTTAAATGTCGTTGAAGAAGATATTTTTTTGCTGTTGTATAATTACTAAAAATTAAAATTTTAAATTTGCATTTAACTTTCTTTTTGTTCATCTTACCAATATGAACACATTAATTTTTCCATTGGCTTTCCTGTATCACTAACAGTACTATTACGTTGTGGTGTTGCCGTTTTCGGCCATTTTCTTGTTGTACCACTCATTTCTCTTTATTAGAAATAGATTGTTAGTTTGTTGTGTTTCAATAGAAAAGAACTTATTCTTACCCAAAATCATAAACGGAATCAATTGAATGATTAACAGTATTAGTTTTAAATTTTTTTGTAATATCTTCATTGGTAACACTATCATCATCATCATCATTGTCGTCGTCATCCTCTGCACTTTCTTCATTTCTTGCGTTCCAATCTTCATCATCATTTGCTTGATTTCGACGTGTACGACCACGAGTTTTAGCTTTTTTTGGTTCATCTTTTATTCTTATTGCAACTGAATTATCAAATTCTCTTTCATCATCATCAATAGAATCAACAAATTTAACAGCTTTAGTGGATCGTGTTGATGTCCGAGTTGCCATATTAGATCTGCACAATTCAAGGGCAAAGAAAATAAAAAATAAAAAATAAAAAAGAAAGCTCTTTGTTCTTTTAGTATACTGGTAAGCAATATGAACAAATAGAAATATATTTATGATAGATGTCGTTAGTTTATTTTTATTATTTTATGTTTTTTTTTATCTTTTTATTTAGCCCATGGTTGGATTAATAGAAATACCCATAGAAACAAGCATTTCTAAAACATCTTTGTTATTCATAACTTCTTCATAGGTAAAACAATGATTGACAACAGTAATATAACCAGCACAACAAACAAGATTTGATGCTGCACATAAACGAGCTTCATAAACGGTATATGTTTCAACACCATGTTGCATTTCTGACCAATATGTATCACACCAACGTGTACAACTTGACCAACCAAATACGCCACAACTACTATAACCACATTTGTTACGTGCATGTCGTTGAACATAATAAGTTGTTTGACGAGTTTTTGCTGTAGCTTGAACACCTGAAAAGACATAAAATGTATTATATTAAAATAATCAAATAGAATTTCTTACCAGGATCAATATTACAACACCAGTTGGAGTTATCTTGTCGACCTTGATTTGAATTTTCAAAAAGTAATTGAAAAAGTTTTTCTTTTTCTGTGTCACTCATACGATCGATTACTTGTTGAAGAACATTCATGTCTACATTCTTGTCGCAATAAATATTGCTCAATGATAATAGAAAAATAGCTACCGAGCAAATGATCTTTATAGAACACATGATGTTCTTGTTTTAATCGATTAAAAAGATTTTTTTTTAAATATCATTGGATTCTTTTATCAATAGCGCATTTTATTATGTGTTGATCCAGATGTATTTTTTCTCATAGTTTCAGTAGACGACAGCCGTCGATTGTTTTGATGATTTCGTTCGATTATTACAAAAAAAAGGAAGTTTATTCATTTCATTGAAATTGATTGGTACCATAGTTTTATTCGAATTATTGATGATCTATTATATTAGTTTGAGATAGAAATAATTGACCTAAAATAAAATTCAGATAGAACATTAACAAATGCTAGTATTAAGTGATATATCCTATTGAGACGATAGATTTTGATTTTGAGTCTTCATGCCAATTCTATTTCAATGTATAGATAAGCATGAATATTTGATAACGAAAAATATTGTTATAGAGATAAAAATAAAATTTATTTTCATGAAGTCTGCAATACACAATACTAACGAACAGGAAAAATAGCAGAAACTAGACGAAACTTTTTTTTACTACCGATACCAGTACAAGTCTGAGTAGGCCAGACTATACCCAATCGGTTGGCCTGAAATTCAAATCGATACTAGATTGACGAGTTATACTATTTCATCAATGGATAGTGATATTTTACATAGTCAGTTTTCAACATAGTTTCGTTACACATCCTCTATGAGCTTCTAAGAGCAAAACAATTAATAAGACACATCGATAATGATCGGTACCAGTTCCATCTATGAGCTGATATCACACGTTTGTTCGCAGTACCAATGGAATGCCGACAGTAGATCATCAGTCAAAGGATAGCCGATCTTCCAAGTATCATACTATCGCTGGTTGATTATCGATATAACACACACTATACCAAACGGTTTACTGGCGGGTTTTCGTCCGATTTGAATCCCACGAAAGGTTTTATTTCAAACAATATAATTTGGATCGTTTTTTGATAAGTATCATTCTGTCACACATTTGATAATTTCATTTTTATATTTCTTGTTGACAACTAGCATTAGGACAATGATGCAGATAAAATATAACGCCTGAACATAAAAATAATAATCTAACATTTCAATGATTGATTGAAAATTACATAAATAAAACCGTAAGAAAATTTTTGAAAATATAATCCTTTAGAATATGAACTCATTGCACATGAACTTAGAAATACTTTATTTGAAATCTGTTGGTCAATCCATTTTTAATTGAAAAATAATGCATTTTCAACTCTAACATGTTGATTATTAATAAAAATATGTAAATATTTATTGTTCTGCATTTCAATTAGTACTATTTAGTAGGTTTTATAATTGTAATCATGAAACAATATAAATACCCATGCTGAATGTTTGTTCGCACCATCGTCGGTATACCGTGATAGAATATCGGTCAGAAGATAGACGATCGTTTCAGTATCCAACTATCGTTGGTTGATTGACAATATAGATTAAATTTTTCATGCAATGAGATTGTATCAATGAATTAATGCCAAAAAATTTCATAGATTACAATACTATTAGACTTTGATTAGATCTATTTTGACAGATCATTTTCAGCATGACTTCTTAATTGATGTTTCATCTATGAAGACATTGAGCTATTTTATATAATGATGTGTGTAAGGGAGAATATCGGAAGTTGATGACATACTGATTAGTTCTGCATATTTTCATTCAGTCAATGGAAGATTATTCATTGCAAAACTTTTATGAAACGATCCTACTAGTCATAGAAGACATTGTGTTATAGTAAAGAAAAATGATTATAGTTTTATAAGCAGCAATATTACTATTATAAATTTACAAAAGAGAACATTATAGACATGATATCTTATTTAAATCATTTGTTATTTTGACAATGATGGGCAAAAATTTGAAAGATAAAAATAAATTTTTTTTTCAAAGCAACACTATACTTGGTAAAATACAAGATGCGTTTAAATAACATATATGTATATCTTTGATTTTTTATACTTATAATGGTAATATCAAAGTGATCATGCATTAAAATATACATTGATTTGTTCCATAGTGGATTTGTATCAAGTATTTGTTTTATTATATGATGATTTTTTTCTTGAGTATTGACATTTTATCGTTTAATTTCGAATCATTGTAATTTGTTGCGATATTAGCCATTATACGCGTAGTCTTTGATAAGTTTTTCAAATGAATAAAAACAGTAATAACTTAATCAAACCACAAATAAGTCTAACAAGTGAATGGAAACATTTTTTTATTGCATTATAAGATAATTGGTTAGAAAGTTTTATCTCTTCATTTTTAACATTGCAAGGATGAAAGTTATAACATTCATTTCAATTATAAATCGAAATTGTTGCTGCAATTACAAAACATGCAATGAAAATCAATAGTTATTCCATTCGTATCTTTTCAGATATTGCCGACTGGGTTGGGTTGATACGGATACCCATTGGGTTGGATCACTCATGGGTTGATCCTAATTCAAACCAGTGGATTGGAGAAGCCATTTGAAAAAAGACTTTTTCAATGAAGATGTCGTCATCAGCAATATATGTCGAAATTCAGTGAAAGAAATAATAGAGTATACAGTAGCGTACTAAGAGATAAAATCAATATGTCTAGAAGGTTCATATGGTAGTTAAACCGACGAAATGAGGAGTAAAATTAAATTGACTTCTTTCCGTACCATAGGTTGTACATAAATATTCATTAGGAAAATAGAAGTTATTTATTGAAGATGTATTTCATAATGCAAATAGGTTTTTTTTTATTGTAGAACAATGTTAAATGAATCATATAAATTGGTAGAAAAGTAAATAAGAACATTTTCGAGATGATAGAATTTCAGAGCACGCGTATCAACTATAAAAATTATTAGAATTTTTATTGATTCAATTAGTTGGCATATTTTCAAATACATTATCTTAAAATCTTTGACAATATATCATAAATTTATAATAGTCAGAGTTTGTGAGTACCACATTTTAAAATTGGTAGGGGAACGTCATTGGCGAGTTTATTTTAAGAATGAATACTAAGTCGATATCCGATTGTTTATCATTTTTGGTTTAATTCAAAAAGGACACAAACATTGCTGCACAACATTAAAATTGACTTGCGTTTTTCGGTTTTAACTTCAAGAAATATAAACTGCTAGCATGGTGAAATCGCGATCGTGCGGCCAACTTAACCAAAAAAAGATAGACATAGAGCGATTGTATCTGCATCGCTCTCAACATGTTTCAAGCAGAACGGCTGCCGCTCTCTCTTGCGTTTCACTCTGACGCGTGCGATGCACATCTCTGGTGTTTACCTTCTATGAAAAAACGATCTATATCTTGTTACTCTCATATCTCGCGAAGATGTTTTCAAAACTTCTCAATTTTTTATCTAATTTTCTTTTGTAGTCTCAGCACTTTTATTACATCAATATTACTAACTGAAAATGTGTTCTTCATAGCACCTGCAAGATAAGAACGGACGTCATTCAATGTAGTTCGTCACCAAGATAAAACATATTATAATATGTGTTGTTTTCATGATCTTGACATGTTGATAAGAACTCCAATCGTCGAATGTATATAAATACGATAAACTTCTTCATTATGCCACACGAAAAGATCACAAGAACACAACATGATTCGTCAACTTCAACTGATGTTATGCATCTTATGTTTCTCCCATAATCAATATGTAGTACAAGCAACTATATACTCATGCAACACGGCAGCTCCATGTGGTTGTTCAAAAACTCCAGTCAATATTAACGCTAGAATTTTTGGTGGTGAAATAGCTGCTAGTCATAGTTGGGGTTGGTCTGTTTCATTACGTAAGTCAGACATCGGACACTTTTGTGGTGGTTCGATTCTTTCTCCAAGCTATGTGCTTACAGCAGCAACTTGTGTCTATAAAATTAATCTTACAACAACAGAATTAACAGTTGTTGTTGGTACAGACAATCTCGATGATAATATTGGACAGAGATCAGCTGTGTCAGAAATTTATGTACATCCAAAATGGAACCAACAATGGCATCCAACATGGAATTCAACTAAATTCGAAAATGATATTGCTATTCTTAAATTGAAAGAAGCAATCTCTTTTGACGACGATAACATTGCTAAACTTTGTCTACCATCTTCATATGACACTATAGAAACTGATTTTCCATTGATAAACTCACAACTTGTAGCTGTTGGTTGGGGTGAGACAGAGTTAGGTATTTCTTTATCAAACACTCTCAGACAGATGACAGTTGCAGTTATTAGTAATAATGAAACAAAATTTTAATGTAATAACTTGATAAATAAACTAAAATCATATTAAAGTAAAGAAAATGCAGTAATAATTTATTATTTATTTATTTATTCATGTCAAATTTATATAACATGTAGAATTTTCGACCAGTGTCTGTTGGAACCAGCTAGTAAATTCGGTCATCATCAGTAGATTCATATCGAATTAATACAACAAAAACAGGACAAATAAATGACTGAAACATTTATAATGCCATAAACAAATCCGAAATACTAATAATAAGTTCAAGTTATAAGAGCTGCAAATATAAATGTGTCATATTTTAATGTAATAACTTGATAAATAAACTAAAATCATATTAAAGTAAAGAAAATGCAGTAATAATTTATTATTTATTTATTTATTCATGTCAAATTTATATAACATGTAGAATTTTCGACCAGTGTCTGTTGGAACCAGCTAGTAAATTCGGTCATCATCAGTAGATTCATATCGAATTAATACAACAAAAACAGGACAAATAAATGACTGAAACATTTATAATGCCATAAACAAATCCGAAATACTAATAATAAGTTCAAGTTATAAGAGCTGCAAATATAAATGTGTCATATTTTAATGTAATAACTTGATAAATAAACTAAAATCATATTAAAGTAAAGAAAATGCAGTAATAATTTATTATTTATTTATTTATTCATGTCAAATTTATATAGTTTTTGTTGTATTAATTCGATATGAATCTACTGATGATGACCGAATTTACTAGCTGGTTCCAACAGACACTGGTCGAAAATTCTACATGTTATATAAATTTGACATGAATAAATAAATAAATAATAAATTATTACTGCATTTTCTTTACTTTAATATGAAACAAAATGTCGTTTTCTTATTGGAAATAAAACCATACAATTTTGTGCAGCTGCCAAAGGCGGAGGCAAAGGTAATTGATTATTATTATGCGACAAAAGAAACATAAAAATATTTCTTGTGTATAGATCCATGTCAAGGTGATTCAGGTGGTCCATTGATGTATTACTCTGATATTTATAAACAATGGATGATAGCAGGAATAACATCTTTCCTTACTGCATGTGAAACGTCTGCATTCGCTAGTGTTTATACTCGAGTTACTATGTATATCGATTGGATTAAATCAGTTGTTGGCAACGATAACGTGGTGATAGCCGGAGAAAACACTGCTACTTTTAGTACTATACCAACTACATTAGCTATGTCAACTACGTCAACTATGTCCAATATGTCCAATATGTCCGTTATACCGACTTTGTCAACGATGTTTTGTATTGCAACACTTTTATTTATATATATAATGCGTTCTTTTTGATCGAAAAATAAATTATATTTATTATGCAATAATTACTATTTTTTAATTATGCTAACGAAAGGATCTTTGTACAAGTGGTAAATTCTTTTTTAATTGAAATAATGTTCATTTAATGACTAATAGTGAGTTAATAGAAAAGTCTATTATGGTTTGACTTTCCAAGCCTTCGTTTTTGAGATACAGTCATTTTATTAGATTTTCGACAAATAGCTGTGGTTCTTCTAAGGTGACGTGAATAATCGACTTTTGAATTTCTCTTTCAATGTCAGCATCTCTTCATGAACAAAGATCTGAATTAGACTAGTTGATTGTGCAACGTTTAGCTTTTCTATAATTTTCTTTCCGTAGATGTAAATATAGTATGATGCAAAAATAATTTCTGCTCGACATTGAAGCTTTCAAGAATTCTTTCTTCTGAACTTCAAATAGGGTGTGAGTAGAAATGCATTTCCACCGAAACCCACACCCTATCGTTCTTCTCTGCTCTATATATGATTGCCTTAATAGCTCGACAAAAATTGAAAGTTCACAAACAACAGTCATATAAACAACATTTATGGATAAAAACATCGATTAATTAATTGCATTATAATAGTCATTATAGCCATGCCTCGTTTAATTATCTCTCTTGTTTCTCCATGTATGAAATCAGTTCGAAATCCTTAGCTATATCTCTTTGGTTATTTTGTTTCATTCGTTCCACCATTACTTGTATTCATACTCTTTGTTCTGCTGTCTGACTTATATCCCAAAGAGTTCAAAAAAGCTACTGCATGTATCAAAGTAACTGTTCAACGTCGATTTCGCCGTGAATAGATAATTCAGCAACACAATGAAACGTCTTTCTCCTATTTTGACAGTGGCAAGAGCTTATAAACATCTTGCTTTTCTCATATTCGCTTTTGTCTTTGTACACTTCCAATGTTATTCCGAAAGAAACAATAACTAGCAAAGAAAGATACACTATTGATACTCCGGAGAATTTCGACAATACTGGCTCTATCCAGAATCTTTTGCAAAATCCAGTTGTGTGATCCAGTCTACAACATAATTCACAGAGCACCGAAAGCAGACCAGTGAAAATGTAAAAGTTATTATTAGTCTTTCTTAAGATGAATCACCTAGAATGTTACGAGTTTGCAGTGTTATCTCAGTCTTTTTTTGTGAGAACAAATGTTGATAATCATAAAAGCAAGGGTGATTAGAACGAACTAACAGTCAAACACATCATCAATAGACGCGATCAGTTCTCAACGACGTTGTGGAAAAGTTTCATTCATAACATTTTTAAACATAATTGCCAGTGCACTCTTAATTAATGAATACCAAACGGCCGCTACTACAGAATAACAGCAAGCACAAATTCTAAAATTGTCAAATACTTGTGCAGACGGCAGTTTGTTTTCGAATTAAAGTAAGACCTGTGGTTCTCATCCACATTTTCATTTCAGTTGTAATTTGGTTTCCACGAAGAAACAAAAGACGTACAAAGTGCACATTGTTTCCTTCGATAATTACGTTCCTGAGGTTTATGATATGGCTTCAAGATCATTGTCTCAGTTTAAGCTTCTTGTGACTTTCCTTATATTCATCGAACTTTAAGACGTCGATTATTGATTTACAATTGCGAGAGACTGTTGATACTTTTTTTTCAACAGCTTCAATATCACGAACAATTTCAGTTTTGATATTGTCTTCGTCCCCATCTGTACTAGACCGTAATTCAGCTGGAACTTCCTCCTTATCATCATTATAGCTTGTCGGCATCGAAATTAGAAGTGCCAATGTATCTATTCATGTTGATGTTGATAGTAAAGAATAAATATAAATATAAATAAAATATTTATATTTATACAATAACAATTAATAAATTTAAAAAAAAATTTTTATTAATCACCGAATAAAGATGACTGGAAGGTAAAAATAAGGCTTCTTCTACGAGCATCAAGCAAACAAATAACTCAAAGTTGTAACTAGTAACGGTTAACGACCAGTCCGGTTCGATCTAATAGAGAGTTTCCTTGCCGGTCGGTAGATACAACTTTTTATTTATTAGTCAGTAGAGATTATTTCGAGTTTTTTTTCCGCCAATCAAGCTATTATTACTGATATGTAAATATTTCTATGAGGGAATATGCCGGTAAGAAAAAAAATCCTACTTGTTGCAACTCTGAACTACTTGATGTAATAACAGGACATTTTAATTAGAAGAGCCCTATTGAATGAAGTTTACTTCATTTACTTAAAAAGGATTATCAATAATTACATGACGTGTCAAAAATAGAGGAATTTAAGTGCTTTAGTGAGGCCTTAGTCAACGAGTAATTGAAGAAATTCTCGTATGCTGTCTTCGATCCATTTTTAGATTCAGTCTTCCATTTAACATTTGTTCGTGGTGCCATTAAAAGACTTTTAAATCTAGATTGGATGTTGTTCCTTCGTTTTCATGAGAGTCACTTCATAGGAAACACTACTTCTTCGCGAAACAAGGCAGATTTTTAGAATCGATACTTTATTCAGTAAATTATCTGCTAGTGAATAGGAGTGACACTTTCACTTTCCTTTAAGCAAAAATTGCAGTTTTCTCTCTTTGTGTAGAACCTAACATGTATTTTCAAAACAAAAATAGTAAATGTCAGTTTAAATAGAGGTTTTTACAGCTTCAATCTGGTCTCTAGCAACTGGGCATAAAAGAAAGAAGATCAAAGATTATTATGTACATTTTCATAACAACAATGAGAGATAGCAACTATTGAATACATTTTTCTAGCAACTGGATAAGATGCGCCAAGAATAGCAGTGATTAAATCATTCTGAAACTTTCTATAGTCTGCCAAAACACTATTTCAATCTAAGATTTCAACTGTAGACTATAACTAATTAGTCTAAATATTGTAAGTTTTGATATTTAATGCAACGAAAGGATCCTATTGTATGTGTCAATCAATAAGGCAATGGTATTACTCATTTCGAGTGTCGGAATAGGACAGTCGTAGAAAAGTATGAACTAATTGAATTTTGAGCTTAGGCAAAATTCATCATTACATGTGGAAAGTTCGTCGAGAGAATGAATAGTGTGCTCGGAAGCTTACTAAATAATTAAATCAATGTGTATATCAATCAGGCTATTATGGCGGTTGAACCAAGGAAATGAACAATAAAATAATATTTGTCGCTTCCTATGGAATGTATCATATATATTATAATTAGAAGAAAAAAAGCTACGTATTAAAGATGTAGCTGACAATAAAAATAAGATCTTTTTGTATAACTGTATTAAATGAATCTGATAAGTTGGTAGAACAGTAATTCGAAATGATAAGATGTCATAACGCGCAAATTAACTATAAAAGTTATAATATTCATTTATTCATTTATTTGACATTTTTTTAAATAAATTATTTTAATCCCTCCAGCAATATACCATGAATTGATAAGGCTCAGAATTTGTGAGTTTCACACTTTGGCCTTGTCAAAGGACCCCACTGACCAGTTTTTTATTTGATAAATAATTTTTTATTTCAATTATATATGATTGAGATAATGAATGTTTTATTAAACCAATACCTTTGTCTAACGCTTTCTTTCAGTTATTGAATTCTGAAGTGGTAAAAACATCACCGACATTTTATTTATTAGAAGAAAAATGATAACAATCATAACGATAACATGCATCTTTTTGTACAGGATATTTCAATCATATTCTATCATTACGACAACTTACACTGAAATGATCGTTTCTGTTAATTTACTGAATTAGTTGTTCGTTTTGGTTGAACAGGAGACTCATTACACGATGTACTGATATCATTTGAAGCAAATTTTGTTTCAAAACTTTCATTCAAAGAAATAGAAATTGGAAGACATTTGTCAAAGAAAACTGGACAAAAATCTCTGTAACTCAGAAAACGAGTTGTTGCAAAATTACCAAGAAAGATTATCGATTCTTCGTTAAAAGTTAGAAACAAAACTCACGGGTCTTAAACAATTTTTGGAGTACTCAGTCCCCTTGGTATCATCACTAGAAAACAGAAATTATGTAAGTGAAATAAGACCAATCAATGTAACACGCAATGTTCTGAACAATCTTTCACATCTACATTCAAGCAGAGTATCTCGAATGAATCCTATTATGATACATAGTTCGAATAAAGTCTTTTGTCTCAGATGCATATAATTGATTTCGCGACTTGATCTTTGAAAGTGTACAGAGTTGAAAATAATATTATTTCAAAGATAATGCTATAGCTTCAAATAACATCAACAACAAATTTTATACCAAATTAAAGCACGTCGAAAATGGGATTTATCAATACTAAATAGTAAGAGTTATGGCAACTTTTCAGAATCGAATGTAAGAAATTCCTGGATTTTATGTCATGTCGACCAATAAAAATTCTTCTCATTAGGCAGTTCAAACTACATCTCATTCAAAATGTTCAATATCACAAAGTACTATTTATGCTTTTTTTCCGTTTTTGTCAAAACATCGGAAATGTTTTTTTTTTCAGCTTCTTCGTGATAATGAGTATGTTCTATCTTTGATGGCATTTTTTTTAACTCCATTTTTGATTCGTTGTTTCCAGGTGAGGTGTCAATTACTTTGTGATAATCATCATTTTAAATGAGATTAGTTTGAACTACCTCATGAGAAGAGTTTTTATATGCCGATATAACATAAAATTCAGGAATTCCCTGCATTCGATTCTGAAAGTTGTCATAACCCTTACTATTTAGTATTGATAAGCCCCATTTTTGACGTGCTTTAATTTAGTATAAAATTTTTTGTTGATGTCATTTGAAACTATAGTATTACCCCCCTAAAATAATATTATTTCCGATCCTATAAATTCTTTAAATCTTTCAATTATAAAATCCATCTGTGGACACTATTTCTAAAAATAATCGTTTATGATAATTACATTCATGTAAAGATATGTGCACGCGAGAAAAGACAATTTGTAGTAATCAAATGAAGAGAATATCAAAAAAAAAATACAGAAGCTACTAGCTGTCAAGCACCATTTTCCAATAAGAAACCCCAAAAGTCATAGTCATATCGTCAGCTAGTGTAAGATGAAAGCTAAGGAATAACCTTTTTTTTTAATGTTATTCTTAAGAAACCTTTCTTATTGATTGAATATAATATAAGAAAAGAAAGAAAAATGCAATATAAATTTGAGTTTCATAATAGATCTGAAATTTTTTATCTTTATAATTTACTTAATTACTAAATGCAATACAACGACTTGAGATGAAAATAAATATGATCGTGATAGTATATATTTATATTTCAATAAATTAATTTTATTATTCTTATTCTTATATGAGTTTATTGATTATAGGATTTATGTATGATTATCTTTTGCTTATGATTAATACATTGTTATTCTTAGTTAAATTCGACCCCAGCCATAAGATAAATTTTTTTTAATAAAATATATTCTGAAACTATTTTTTTCTCGATTAATTTGAATTCTTTCTAATAAATAATTCTCATAGAGATAGAAAACACTCTCTGTAATTATGTATAGCTCGAACCAAAAGTCGTCAGTATGCTAGCAGTAGTACAAAGTTACATGTTATATATGTTTTCTAATGATATAAAAGTTTTCATAAATATTTATTATATCTTTGCTGTCGATGAACGGATGTCATCAAAACCGGTCCTTAACTAATTTGTTCCAACTGAATTTATTCCATATTCGACTCATCCCTAATTTGCCATCTAATTAATTTAGATAAGTGAAATGAGTAACAGAGATAGTTTATTGTTTCTTTCATTTCAATATGTTGAATGAGTAAGTGACAGAGAACGAAGAAAATGAACAACTACAACACGATAGACTTTATTTCTTCATGAAAGAATTCTTTATCGTACGACTGGATTTAGTAGTTAGTTACGCTTTGTCAAGCTCTGTCCTCTAATATGCTTGAAATAGATTGATGTTTTGCTTTGTAGAATAATTCCTAAATTTAAATTGTAGATAGTCATCTGACGAGATACAAGTATTATATATACTTGCAACTTAAATTGTTTTTCTCAATAGATCTTGATTGCAAGATTTTAATTAGAGCTGAATTGATAACTCACTAAAATCGATATGAATTCCGATTCAAAAACTAATTAATATGGAATCATTTTTGTTGATTGTGCATCAAGAACGAGCTGGAAATAAATCGATGATCGATTGAAAATTATTTCATATTTATTATAAAACTAAAATTTATGTCGCATTTTTCTTTCTTTCATTGTTAAGTTTCTCACATACATTCAGGCATTTATTTTCATACTAAAGTATAATATTCTAATGAAAGCATTATTAGAGATTTTTAAAATTAGTTATATTGTATTTATAACTCTGATTTATTTTACTCGTTATCTGTCAACAATATAACATGTTTTCAAACGGAATTCTCTTTCTGCTTTTTCATATTAATTTATTTAAGTTTTTTTATTATTATTAATTAAATAACATACAAGACAAATAATTATTTTTACTCAAGTGTTTTACCCTCCATGAAAATATTTATATCTAAAGATATATTCTACCAATCATTAAAAAGTACTATTGGAGCTGCAGAGAAACACTTGAAAACATGTTTTTTTTTGGTTTTCTAATATTCATCAATCACGATTTGATGCTTCACAGATGCTCGGTTTTCCCGTGTATCATGATAAAGTCATAGCGTAGGTTTTTATTCTGTTATTCGTCCTTGAAAAGGTGAAGCGTGCGAGCTAGCACACCCACCTGAGTTATACACGTGAATCTCTAACTTATTATTAAAAAATTGATTATTACGTTGCAATCATATTAATGCAATCTATAAAACTATTTATTGAAAAAAATATATTAGTCATATTGTATTCTGTTTAATTATGATCCATCATCTCATGTTCGATTAGACAATGTAGAACAATTATTAATTTTTTCATGATTTATTTATTTATTGAAAGCGAAAAAGGTCAATACATAAGGAAAATATTTAGCTGTTTTTCGATGTATAGATGTATCCATTGCCCTAAACAAAACAAAAATGCGATAAAACACGAAAGAAAAGAAATATAGTGATCTTACTGTAGATGGACATTTGAGTGTATCTGCTAAATTCCATAGAGTTGTCTTTTGGCCAACTTTTTCCATCTATATATATATAAATAAAGCAAAAACAATTAAAAAAAGATCTCTGAAAGAAAAACTGAACAAACCATATTATTCCAAAGTTCAACAGCAGCAGCTTCATGACCTTTTGAACTGAAATGAAAACAGTCGGGTGCGAAATATGAAAAATCCGGTTTGCCATCAGACTATAATATAAATATCAATGAAAAAAAAAATTTCTTTTCTAAAGAAACAAAAGCTCTTCTTACTGTTGCAGGAACTTGCATATGTTCCATAAATGGTTGACGAACAACAGTAAAATCATTTCTTGTATCATAAATACCCGAATCAACCAATTCATTTGTTGCTCTTTGATATGCAATATTAGCAACACGAACTATTTCACGTGTTTCAGGTTTAACAGCACAGTCACATAAAAATCTATATAAAAAAAAAGTTATTAATTATTAAAAATAAAAATAGAAATAAATTTTTCTATCATTCAAAACTTACACTTGCATATTTTTGCAGACAGCACCTTCATGTAAATCTTCAAGTTCAGCAACATTAAGAACAGTAACAAAATTAACAAGAGTACGTGGCATTCTACTATGTAATATATCAAGTGTTGTTTTAATATTATTTTTATAAGCTGCTGTACTATAACGATTCTATATTAAAAAGAAATCCTAAGACATCTATGAATTTGTTCAATCAATTAGAAATACATACAGTATCTTCGCAATAGGAGCAAAGATCATTACCGCCGATGAAAAATGTTACTAATTTCCATTCTGAATTGAATCTACTAGTGCCTAATTTTCCAATCATTCGATCAATTAACATATTAGCTTGATTTGGCATATCACTAAAATATAGAAAAACGTAATAAGACTATTATTTGATCTAATCTATAAAATTCTTACGCTGAAATAGCACCTGGTTTAGCAAGATTGAAAAGAGCATTTGATGCATTGTGATTACCAGTACCGGTTGAGAAACCGTTAAGATTCGTATTAAATTTTTTCATAATATCTAATATATATATATATCAAAGAAATTTTTTAAAATACGGTCAAGAAAAATGAACATACTTGCTAAAGTAACAACTTTCGTAAGATCAGAATCACCACCGATGCTAAAATATTTAAAAAAAAATAGAATAAAAAACAATGATACTATTTCTCTTGGGAACATTGTGATTGAATAGCTGCGTTGCTCGACACGTATCTATAAAGTACTGCGTTCGGACGTCGATAATACCAGCTAAGGAATGATCGTGGACAAGTCATTAACAGCTGTTTGTCTCGAATCACCCGCCCGACAGAATACTGACTACACTGTGATATCTACCTATTCTTGTGGCTAGCTGATGTATATGAGAAGCTCATGCAAGAACTCTACGTCAGGCTAGTCTCCAATACTGAGTAAAAACTAGCATTAGTGTTAAGGAACATATCGAGCTACTGTATCTGATACTGAGTAGCACCTCACACGGAAAGGAGGTTGCTGACTTCTTCTTCTTTTATATTATGTCGTGTACCTCCATGAAACACCACGGTATTCGATGAGAAGACCAATAATTGTACTTGCTTTGGCACCATTAGCTGCCTAGAATATTAAAATATTAGACGATTCTGTCTTTTCTTTCATCAAACATACAGTCAAACTGTCACCGATAGCACCGATATGTTGAATATCAGCTGGTCGTAAAGCGTGAACTAAAAATCGTCTAATTAGAAAAATCATATGCAAATAAAAATTAAACTCATACCTGAAGTAGGAACCGTTGGTGATGGAGCTAATGCCGAACATGTAAAACTTACACGACTATTCGTAGGAGCGAGTGGGCCCTTTATATTTTTAATTGTTAAAATAAATTTGAAAATTTTCAAAGATTAATTTTCTTACTAAAATTCTCATTCGTTCGAAAAGTGTATTTTCCCGACTGGGAAGAGCAAAAGCAATACCTATTTAATAAGACAATTTAAATTTAAAATAAATTTAGTATTTAATCTCTTACCGCATACTAAGAGAAGGCTAAAATAAGACAACAACATATTTGTTTGGGATAACAAGGCAACAGAAAAAGCACACTCTGCTTTAATAGTTTTTTGTTTTATAGACTCACACATGTATCTTTCACAACACCTGCTTAATATTTCCATAGGTGTTAATCAGCACAGTAGGCGTTTGATATCAAAAGCAATTTATTTATTGTTCCTTTTTTTTATTTTCGTTTTATTTTTACTTTTTTATCTACACATACATAATAATGAAAAAGAAAATTTGACATATTTATTTTATCAATCGAAGCAATCATCTAGACCAGCAGCCATTGAGTGCATATGTTGTTTATAAACACACATAAATTTAGCTATAAATGCTTCAAGATGAAAGATTTCTTTTGAACCTTGTCGAAGACGATGTTCATATTCAGCTGCTATTTGAGTTATTTGAGATTTTAATAAATCATCACAATTAGCTAATAATTCATCAAGTAAACCCTTTGAAAGAAAAAAAAAACACATTTTTTTATTTTCTCAATCAAATGAAATAAAACTATTCACTTTAAATATAATTTCTGCTGGAATACAATGTGCAATAAGTTCATAAAGACGTTCACGTGCTTCCAAAATTCTTTAAAAAAAAAAAACTTTTTTTTATGAAAATAATTAAAAAAAAAAATAATGTTTACCGTTGAGGTGTTTGTTGTTCACCAATCATTCGAGCTGTATCACGTAAATATATTTCCCAATCAGGTTCAATTATTTGTTGATCTTTAGTTAATGGAACTCTATGAAGGAAAAACAAAACACTTTTAATCATTTTGAAATTTTTTTCAAATATAAATCTAACTTTTGTGTAACACATGATTGAAGCATAAGTAAAGCTCGACGAAGATTTCGTTGACTTTTTTCACCAATACGATTTGCTAAATCAACTGGTAATTGAATACCTTCCAGTGTTGCAACTTTTTTTAAAATTCCACTAATCTATTTTGAATTTTTCAGTTAAAATAAAACATAGACATATTTTGTCAACATACTTCATCTAAAGTTGGTGCAGCTACACGAATAGCTAAACATCGACTTCGAATAGCAGGTATAACACGTGATGTTGAATTACAACAAAGAACAAGTCGACATGAACTAACATATTTTTCCATTGTACGACGAAGACCATGTTGAGCATCACGTGTTAGTTTATCGACTTCAACAATAACAATAACTGTAAACAAAACAAAACAAAAATATTAATACATCTTATGAAATAAAAGAAAAAAGCTTCTACCTTTAAATGAGCGTTGTTCTGTACTATTAAATTGTTTAGTTTGTGCAATTGTTTTAATTAATTCTTGAATAACAACACGATCATAAATTCCCACATCACTTAAGAAAAAAATATGCATGTACAATAGTATATTACAATTCGTTCGAGTACCGAGTATGATTTTATACTCGAATACGAACTGGCAATCAAGATGATATTGAAGTTTAAACATATTTTTACTTTTTCAATATGTTATTTATATGAAAGCATAGAAGTGAAAAATTGAGTAATTTATTATACTTGAAAACAAGTCATACAACTGAACAATGATATAGTTTTACTAGAAGAATTCGTTTTTAATGAAAATTAACCTATACATGATGATGAATTATATGACGAAGTAACTGAAGACATGGAGAAAAAAATGAATTATCAAAACAATGAAGATTTATTATCGTAAGGAGAGAAGACATTCGTATTTGTAGCTACAAGTAGAGGTGTAAGTCGAAGAGTCGACATTTTTTTCAATGCTTTGACTAAAAAGCAAGTGAAAGTCCGTTAAAACAATTTTTCAAATGTATTTTTACACTGAAAAAGATAAAGTGAGAAGTACAGTATTCAGCCATTTTGTGTGTAATGTATAAATAAGTTTTGAACGAAATCAGATGTGGATTCTTGCTAGAGAGTATGAATCTTCTATTCACTTCGTTTCTATACACAAACCGTGCAGTAGGCATTTTCATATAGACCAGGTGGACATCTGATTTTTTTAAGAAATCTTATTTTCTGCTCAATATGACTCTATTTTCTCTCAAATATCAATAGAATCTAAAAAACAACTAATTTTACTGAAAAATTATTGTGAGAGATCCTTACTATATATACATACATGAAAATTCTTTTTTAATAAGAAGTCTAACACATTATATATCACTCGATGCTAATTCCGAATAAAAATATTTCTACAGTAGAGTGCAAAAAAATTTGCCATTGTACTTACGCATTTTTTCGAGTCATATCTGTGAAGCGCATGAACGGATTCTTCTGAAACTTTTATCAGTAATCAAGGATGTGCTGTAGATTTTAATCAGAGCGCGACTCCTCAAAAAGTGTCGTTCGGTAGAGCGAGAGACATCATGATTCGAGTGTCCACCACTTTTCTAGAATATCAAACAGTCATCTTACACTGCCACGACTAGGGCAATCGTAGCGCTGCGAAAATTGTCTTCTTAAAGAAGGACTATGTCCATACTATCTAACGAAATGCAAATGAGCCCCAACGACACGGCATCGTAAAAACAAACGGAGGAACAAGGTGTGTAGAACTACCAGAACAAATGGCGCTCCCACCAGATTTTCAAATTATCTCGACAATGACTTGTCTGACCGACTTGAAATTTTCATANGTGTATCGATGAAGCTATAGTGTTTACTGCTTTTTTTGGCTGAAGGGAAAAAGAGCTAACTATTGATTATTATATTTGTGTACTCTTGTGTATGTATAATTTATTTTATAAAAAAAACTTTCAATATTCATCATGTTCAGTAGAGTAACTTTATCAAATACGAACGGCAATTATTTTTGCACTCCACTGTATATCGAGAAAAATGAGTTTTATTTAGAAAACCCTTAGCTTAGCCCAGTGGCGTAGCCAGGAATTTTCTAAGGGAGGTGCCCGACTTATTATGGAGAGTGCACAACAGCCGCGAAATAAATTTTTGTTTCTCGGAAATATTTTTCACCTGTACCTCCCTCCAGATGTTTCTTGACCAAGGGGTGTGCCCGGGCACCTTATGCACACCCCCTGGCTACGCCCCTGGCTTAGCACTGGAACATTTCAGCTGAGTCACGCCCGTAGTGTTCTTTTTGTTTTTAGTAAAGAAAGGTATCTAATCCTTTCTGGCAATGTTTTTCGTCTAATACTAACAAGACGAAAACAGAACTTGATGTCATTCAATAACCTATAGGTTAGAGTATGTTTCCTTATTTAAGCCATTAACATGTATACTTTCAATTTTTCATCCAATGTTCGCCTAGAGTACCCAAAATGCACCACACTCTATTTCTAGTCTAGTAGAGTAACTATATGACATGTAGAGCTGATATTTTAAGTAGATAAACAATGAAAATAGGTCTACATTTTGATAAAAATACTGCAACTCAATCAGTGAAAATCATTTTGAGAAGGCCATCGATTTTGTGTGCGATTAATTTTAAATACCAATGCACTTATTATATTTTTAGTTTTAAATATTTTCTTTTATAACATACCTTGGATTGACTTGTATATGAAAATTACTACCAATTGTTGTTATTTCAATTTTCTTTTTTGATGGTGTTTCATATTCATGATTTTCAATACGTAATGATTGAACACCATCACCATATAATGCATGAAGTAAACATGTTATACGAGTTTTTTTACCAGAACCACTTGGACCAAATATTAAAAAATGTGGAAAATCACCACTAGCAACAATTGTTTGTAATAAATTTGCTTGTTCTAATTGATAATCAAGTTCATCGAATGTTTTTGGACGATATTTATCACACCAAAGACTCATCTGAAAACAAGATTAAAAAAAATATAGGACACAATCTTTCTAGTAATTTGTTTAAAATAAGTCTCGGTTTATATTTTATCAAATTTCCATGAAATGTAGACGAAAAAAAATTATCAGCGAAAAGATGCCGAGAAAAACACTGTTTAGATTGTTTTGAAGAAACAATTATTAGTAGAAGATAAATCATATAAATTGACTTTATGATGTCTGATTTTCTCTTTTCAATTTCTGACATTTGTAATTAAAACATTTCACTAGATCCATAGAATGTTAATTTGTCTATTGCTATCCCCTTTCTTATATTGTATCTCTCTTATTACAATAGATATCGGAGAGTATAGAATTTCGAGATGATTACAAACCATGTACCTTATATTCCTTGTTTTTCTTTTTCTTAAATTCATAATATCATGCTCTTCGTAATTTCGTTTTGTTTCTTTTCTCATCATTAACCATACATTGTCAACCTCATCTAGTAGGGACAATAAAATTATATGTCAAAAAAAAAATAATAATAAATTGACTATATAAGTTAGAATAGGAAAATTTTGTTGATTTTTAATTGCTAGCGTCAACAGATGTCACTCATTGACGCTAAGTCTATCATCATATATTTGTGGTCACCGTTTACACACTAATGTTATTGGATTAGCTTTCAGAATGTTGAAGTGTAAAAAGAAAACGGAACTATTCTGAATTGAAACATTCGTTCTTGATCAATGTTTTTAACCCAATATCCAGATAAAAAATGTGACTAATTACAAGACATTAATATGCGTTCATTAATATTCAGAAAAGAATGTCTACAAGAGTCTTTGTTTCAATTAGTTAATCATTCTGCCATTATCATTTTTTTTTACTCTCATATTCTAACTATACATTTGTTATTTATATCCAATATTTGGGAAGTACTCACTAATTTTTGTTAATCTTTGTTTTATTTAAGAATATGATCCACACTGTGATACTATATCTACGATAGATATACCAAAGATCAGTTTATTCTAATAAATTAAAATACGGTTTATAAAACAAAAAAAAAGAGTCTTAATTGCGAGTTTTTGTTTTCTTTTTGGTTAAAATAAAACAAATAATATAGTCACACACATCAATCTAAATATCGATTAAAAATAAATTCATATTTTTCTTGTTCACCAGATGTTTTAGTTGGTTCACCATTCTTTTTAATAAATGCATGTAATTCTTCAAATGTTGCTGTTCCATCTTCAATTTTTTTACCAATATCTGTCTGATTATATGATGCATATCGCTGTTTAATTAAATTATCATATTTTTTATCTTCAAATAAACAAGCCATTTTACGTAATGCTAAAGCAAAACAATCCATAGCACCAATATGTGCTATAAACATATCTTGAAGATTTGTAGATTCACGACGAACTTTACAATCAAAACTAAACAACAAAAAAGAAACAACTGTGAGCACAATCTTATCGGGATTAAAATGTGAAACACGATTATAGATATGCGGAGAATCAGTTTTAGTTTCGGTTCCGGTACCAAGACCAAAATTTGGAAACTTTCTGAAATCGAGACCAGGACTACAAGAAAAAAGTTGTTTCGGTCGGAACTAAAGATTACAGTTAAATATTCTACATATGGTCATAAGCGAGTCATTATCTTATAAGTCATCAATTAGAACATAATTCAAGAGAGATGATCCAAAAAAGTGTTAGCTGTCGATTAAATGAATACAAAAAAACAAGATTGAGTAATGTTTTTCGATGCGATATGCATAAGTTCTGCAATAGTTTTCTCTAGAGCGAGTCTAGAATTGAGACCGCGATCACTTGAAAATAACCTACCAACACCGCAGAAACTTGGTCCCATACATCAAAGATGGAACCGGTATCGGTTACCGGCTGGTCCGGTGCCGGTACGAATTTCAGACCGGCCGGTCTGCTGGTAGATAGGCCTGGTTAACCTTTTCAGACTAGTACCAGTGCCAGTCGTCAAAATTTCAGACTAGTTCCTTCTCTATATCAGGTATGTGATACAACTTGGCACATCAAGTTTGTCACTCGATAAACCGAATTTTTCATACCTAAACTACTCATTCTCTACTACTGTGCATTATCGATATATCATTCGTTACCGGTAGACCGGTACCGGTCTTCAAAAATCCAGACCGGTTCCATCTCTGCCATACATCTCTAATCACAATGCAGTTGCTATTGATATTTATAGACAGATCGTTTTATTCTATTGACTTTGGGACATATACTTCTGCATCATTTTTTTACTTAATTCTCAAAAATACAGTAAGAAAGTAGTTCATTTAGTATACTTCAATATTTCTTTTAGATCGCGTTTCACAGAAATGCTCATAACAATTTATCTATTCTTTTTGAAAAAAAGGAAAAAAATCAATAATATACTTTAAACCACCAGGAGCAAGTCCACCTTGAGTAATAATTGTTTTCATTATGAAAGCACAATCACGTAAATTCATGGGAAATTGATCTGTATCCCAACCAAGTGATGGATCACCAGTATTTGAATCAATTGAACCAAGCATACCATAACGCGAACACATTTCAACATCATGTTCATATGCATGACCAGCCATAGTTGTATGATTAGGCTCAATATTAAGCTAATTAAGATAATAATTATAATGAAAAATAAATATGAAGAAATTCATTCTTACTTTGAAATCTTTATTTAAACTATAATAACTAAGAAATCCCATTACAGTTTGAGCATCATAATCATCTATGAAGATTGAAATGAAAAATAAGAAATAAAATGAAAATAATTTACATTGATGTTTAGTTGGTTCTTTTGGTTTTGGTTCAATAAGTAATTGTCCTTTAAAACCAATCTTTTTTTTATGTTCAACAGCCATTCGTAAGAATGTTGCTAAATGATCTAATTCTTTTCGAACATTTGTATTAAGTAATGACATATAACCTTCACGTCCACTATATAAATAGTTCATTAAAAAAAAAAAGACGACAATATTTTCTTTATAATTATTTCAATTCAAAATAAAACTTACCCCCAAAATACATAATTTTCTCCACCTAATTCATGTGTCACTTCCATTGCTCTAAAATAAAGAAAAACTAAATAAAAATATCAAAAATTTTCATTCTTACTTTTTAACTTGAGCAGCAGCATAAGCAAAAACATGTGCATCAGGATTTGTTGCTGCACCATTCATATATCTTGGATTGGAAAATAAATTAGCTGTACCCCATAAACATTTAATTCCTGTTTGTTTTTGTAATTCTTTAGTTAATTGAACAATTTCATCTAAATTTGTTTCTGTTTCTTCAATTGTTTCACATTCAGGTGCTATATCTCGATCATGAAATGTAAAATATTTTATACCAAGTTTTGTAAAAAATTCAAAAGCTGCTCGAAGACGATTTTTTGCATTTGTCATTGCATCTGTTTGTTGATCCCAAGGACGATCAAATGTTGGTGCACCAAATATATCAGCACCAATACCACGAAATGTATGCCAAAAACAAACTGAAAAACGAAGCCATTCATGCATAGGTTTACCCAAAATAATTTCATCTTGATTATAATGTTTAAATACTAATACATCATCGATTGATGCTTGTGGATTATATTTTATTGGTTTAATATCAGGAAAAAATTCTTTATTGTCAGTAGACATGCTGATTTTTTTTCTTCTAAAAAAAACAAAAAACAAATTTTTATTCTTGTTACAATATAGACTAATTTTCTATTTGAATAAATTTCGATGGATGTGCTTGTGTTTGTTTAAACAAAGAAAAACAAAGAGAAAAACAAGTCAGTTGTATATAATGATATAATAGTATCAGAGAATAGAAGAGAAACCGATTGGTGAATCCAATATTATAGCTCGATGATATATATATATATAGATGTCTATTTTAAATGAGAATGACATCAACGTAATAAACATTTTCATATGTATTATATTATTCGAAGATATAAAATTAAATACGATAGATAAAGTAAAGGTATATTATGGGAAGGAACAATGTCAAAACCAGAAAATATAGAAAAAAAAGTGATATGTCTAACAGGATGTAGTTAAGGTTACGGGCCTTGTTTTTATCTAGAACCGCATTCCACACCCTTTTTGACATTTTACCTTTCGACCTTTCTATAACTAACCAAAGCAAAACAAAAAGAAAGACTAACATTATAGCATAGATTATACAAAAGTCAAGAGATACAAAAAAGAAAGAAATAATAGCGTTATTTTTTACATTTAGCTACTGTAAATGACAAACCATCCAAATATTCCATTATATCTATAAGACCATCATAAGTCATAATATCATTTACGAAGATTATCTATATGATGTTGAATAGTAATTGTTTTGGCTTGTTTTACTTTTGCACCTAAATCTAAGGATTGGGTATGAAGTTGGGATGTGAAGCAGAACTACATCTACACTCACACCTTCATTTATTAATTCATAAAAAGAGAGATTTGTTTTTTCTTGTCGAATGATTATAATTTCAAATTGAAACAACTACGAAATATTAGAAATCTACACTTAATGAATTTTCAGCAAAGGCTCATACAAATTTGAATAATTAATTGATTAAAATGATTGATGCTCATGGTCATTCTGCTGATAAACGAAAAATTTCGTGAAAAGTGTTTTCATTTGTATTATCTTGACTTGTGTATAATATCTGTTAGAATACTATTATTATCCTATACAATAAATACTATGTCTTGATAGTCACACTTTTCTAAAGCACTTTTCAAGGATTTTCTCACTTCGGTCTTGCTACGGCCAATCAAAAAAACATTAGACAACATGGATGATCACAGACTATGAATTAACTTTCTATTCTATGAGCTATAGAACTAAATGCTTCTTATAGAACCTCATGAAAAAAATGAATTTTCTATAGATTATAATTTTTTTCACATGTAGAAAACGTCAGATTTGTAAACGTTTAATTGATTTCATAGTTCTTTACTGAAAATATATTGATATTATCGTGAATTTCTTATATAACGATCAAATCTTTCTAACATTGATGCTTGATGATATTCATTTCAAAAATTCATCTGCATAAAAAGCTATAATTGTGACAAAGAATTTATAATCTGTATCTTTAAGAATAACAGATGACTAATAATTAGTTTCATGTATATTTTAAGAAAGAGTACGATAAATAATTTATAATACGTTATACAATTACATCTAATAATGCTAATAAAATGAGCTTTATTTCTTTTCTATCATTCGATTAACAATTTCTTCAAACTATGTGCTCTGATATGAGCGTTTTCGAAGACAAGTTATTCAAGATCAATATGACTCTAAATAGGTGTTTTTTATGTATAGTGAATTAGAAAAAAAAAACATGGTTTAGAATAAAACAATCTTTCAAAAAAATGAAGAATAAAGGACATTAACAAAGAAAACGTTTGTTTTATGATGTATTACTTCCATGATAAAGCATTAATCATCAGAGTATAGGAAAGGATTTTGATCACATTCCGTATATCATTCTCAGATGAGTCTATGCAATTAATTTTTAATTCAGCACCATCGAGTCGCTTAGCATTTACATGCTAATGTTGACAATATGAACATTGTCTTGATATTTCGGAATCTATTTGCTATGTACTTTGTAGTTTTTATTACACGGTGCCAAATGTGAATGCATGTAAAGGTGTAAATTTGGATTGTGGTATGAAAAGAAGGCCCACAACTGCCTTCCCAGCTTCAACACCCACAACACATGGTTGATCGGTTAACGCGGAAACGCTTGAATAATTTATGCTGACTGATACTACAATTATTATTAACATTTCTGGAAATACCGTGTTTTATAAAGTAACTAACTCTCATTTTTGGAAGATTTAATTGATAAATCAATATGAAAATCGCAGATTCACTGAGTCAATATTTTTCTTTCTTCTCATGTCGTTTTGCTTATGAATGTTTAATAAAATTCAATCATATACATTTCGGAAGAGGGAAACGCTTTCTATCAGTTAATTAAAAAAAATAATTGACTCAACGCTTTTAAGCTAAAGAGAAATAGGTATCGATACTTTGTCCTGTTATTTTGAATGATATAAAAACTACGAACTCGTTTTGAGAATGTTTCTCTTTTCTGTTGTGTTATTTGCTTTATGAACGTATAATAAAAATAAAGTATATCCGATTCGAAAAAGAAAAACTCTCCATCTTCTGGTAAAACAAAGTTTGATTTCAGCACCTTTCTGTTAATGAGAATTGAGGGCCGATATTTGTGCTATTACTTTTTCATCACATATTATTTAGTTCAACATAATTCAAATGACGTTGTATCTACAATTTTTTTTTCTAAAACCATTGCTATAATACAAAAAGCTTAATGTTGCAAATCTCTGTGCATTACACTTTTTCAGACCTATTATGAGAAACTCTGTGTTGCGTTAAGGTATGCGAAGGTTTCTGAAGCGTTCTTTCTGTCAAAATTTTCGCACGAGCGTACATCAACAAAGCTTTTAGGAGTTCGGATGTCTTGAACACCAATTGTTATTGTTTCATCAACAATATTCTTCGTTCAAGATTTTTCTTTTCGCTTCACATTCTACTTCTCTAGGAACCGAGGTCATATACTATCATAACAGATTCCTTATAGTGCTCGCCATATAGTTTTCAGTATCGGCACTTGAAAGGTTTTTTTCATTACTGTGAAAGAAATCCAGTTCATTGTTTAATTGGAAATTATCTGAGAAAATTTAATTTTCATAGTATGTCTGTACATTTAAGAATAATGTATTGCAATTCGTTTCTACGACACACGTCAACATAGGATTGTGGAAGTAATCCATTTACATATTTTGTCTTCAATAAAAAACGATACACCACACTTAATCTTTTACAGTGGCATGCCTTTCGAAAAAATCAATCTGTGTCAAAGTGATTCAAAGCAAATATGATATTATAGAATATGAAAAGTTGTCTACAAGCATTTAAATTATTTCAATAATTGTTTTACTTGCCACTGTTGGTATTGTTGTTCTATACATGCTTCTTTCTACAAATGAAAACGTATACTGTGACCATCTCGACTTGACTTTGAGAGTCAGTTTGAACATTATTCGTCGATCCTCACATAGCCTCGTTCTGAGTTCATGATTTTCTACGAGACATTTATATCTGTAAAAATTCTATTTCATCAAATGTGTTTTAGTGAATTCGTATCCGAAGCATGAATATAGATTCAACCTATGCCTATAGAAGTGTTTCTTCATCACATGTAGAAAACGATGTTTTCTCGTCTCTCAGTATTTTCTCGTAAATTATTGCTGGGTTTTGTGAGTTAAGCAAAACAGCAATAAACGATGCCGTTATTGAATTCAATGCTGCTACACTTCTGAGTCCGATGATATTCGATGAAGAAGCTGTTTGAATTCAAAGATACCTGGCATAATGTTGGATTGTTCGATTGTCGATGTAATAATTAATCCTTCTTTAGAGCGTAATTATCATCGAGTTTGTATTACTCGATTATACCTATTCGTAACTAGCATTGCGCCACTAAAGATAAATGACAAAAGAAATCTGATGTCGAACTCTATCCTTCGATGGTTTCTCGATAATTTGATGACGGATGGGTGTTCAGTTGATGTCATGTTTGACAAATATTCCATTCGATGCAATCCCGATTCTTGTTCATACATTCATTCTCATCGATTCAATCTTGATTTTGCCATCACTACTATCATCGGTCTATATGACGAATTATCCTTGATTTTAAGTTTCATTATTCCCATCATGGTAAAGCTTGTCATCGATTGGAAACAACGAAATTTTCAAGCTCAAACTTTTCGTTCTATGTCAATAGTAAACCAAACTAAGCTGTTATTTGCTCACAGAGCTTCTGATAACGTTTCATGTCTATGTAAAACTCTGATAAGCGTAAGGGAGAAAGTTATCATTAAAAATATCGCTCATTTGTTATCATTCTTATTAAGTAAAGACAAGAGTGTCATAAATCTTTTCTACTTTTATTCTAAAAAAAGTAGGAACCTAAACTTTCTCAGTAAAAAAAGGAACAATCGAAAAACACAAAACTAAAGACGACTAGAAAAATCACAGTAAATAATGAGTCACCATCAATGAGACAGAAATAAAAGACAACATTATACATCTGAGTAGAGAGTGAGAGATCACAAGAAGAAGTATAGTTCATCTATATAGATGATGATCCTAGCAAAGAATTAATTAGTAGAGATGAAACAGTAATATTACAAATGATTACTTTCTTTGAAGCTTTCTGGCGTTAAATTTTTCTAAAAAGATTGAATATTTCTTCAACTAGACAAGCCATTATTGTAGAGCTAATTTCTCAAGTAGTTTGTTAAGACTGTGGGTGTGAGTATGAGTGTTAGTGTGATGATAGAGTAGAGTAAACGTAGCTGGGTTAGCATGCTCATGTGTGTTTACATTCACACCTACATCTACACACGAATGACAAATTTCTTGTTCTTTTCGATCTCTGATAAGAAGTAAAATGTAAAAAAAAAGAAATTGTTTTTCTTTTGACCGATTATTTTCAGAGAACGAAAAAGGTAATAAAAGCACAACAGAGAGAGAAATAAATATAACTGCAACACATGTCATTATTGTTTATAGAAAAGTACACGTCGCAATCATTTTG